CGATTTAAAAACCTTGAATTTTAATTTGGGAGACAATAGAACAGAATTTAATTGCAGTTTTGAAACTTGAACAATGGATATCTTAATTGTGATTTTAGTGACTCTGTTAATTGAATCACTAAGAAATCGCCGGTGTCAAAAATGAAGATCAAAGGTAAATGTCATAATTGGAATTGCTTCCTTGACTTTTCGCTCTCAAAAGAAACCCTAGTGGAGCAGATCGCAAGTTTCCTGAAAACAATCAACTGGATTTCGCAGTATCATAATATCGGTATTACTCTTCAAGCTGTGTTTTGCTAACAGTAATTGATTTAGACATGTTTTTCCATGGTGGCGCAGAGCCCAACTAGAAAAACTTGTTCTATTGTCCTTCAGAAGACAAAAGCGAAGACGGATCGTGCTTCATGTAGTTATTGAATTTTTTTACGACCATTTTTCTGTTCCTATACATGAGAATATATCTAGCCGATTTTTTTTTAAAGAGAACCTGGCGAAAAAAAGGGAGGAATTTTTGCCCTTGAGATCGAAAATCACACTAGCGAACGAAAAGGAAAGGACAAAAAGAAAAGCAAGGAGGAAGAAAGGAGAAGAAGAGAAAGAAAAACAATGGTTGCACTCTTAGTCTTTATATTGGCTACTTTGGCTTGACAGAAGAGGTCTATTTGGCGGAACGTTTTCAAGAATCGGCTAAACTTAGACAAGTGGTCATTTCTTTACTAAAAAAGCTGACTAAATTTAAAGGAGGTTCTAGAAAAATCACGTCACGGTATTTCGGGTCAAACAATTCCGTGAACACGTGAGAAACAAAGAAAGCATCTCAGGTTCGTAACTTTGTAAAATTTTTTGTGACTATTGTCATACGAGGTCATACGCCTTCTAGATCTCTTAACAAATACCTTTTGAGCCGTTTCAAAAACTGACGAGTTTTGAAAACTTCAATGATCATTGAACCGCGCAAGGCGTGAAATGTATGTTGACGTGAAAATGTGAACGATGACTGAATATTAGATCCGGCGCTCCATAAATAAATTCTCATGTCGTCCCTATAGCATGTATAAATAAAGATTTAAATTGGCTAAAAAGCACGGTGTTTAAGACAAACATTAAACACGGAATTCCTTATTGTTTTCGAGGTATATATTTCGTATCTGGTACAATCAATGGTGTTGTCACGGTAGTTGATTCAGGGAAGGCTCCGCCAAACGCCCCGTTTATATGAAGAAAAGTTGCCCCGGGGCAGAAGGATCACCCGCCTGCCTCAGGCTATGGGTAACAGTAAGACGCGGGATTGGGGTCTATCCTTTTTTTTCAAAGAATGTTGTTTTAAAGTTAGGGTTGACACTAACCCTAAACCCTAACCTTAAAACAGCATTATTATATAAACACCAATGAAATACCAGGTGAGCTTTCGCGCGAAAACTTGATATCTTCACATGTGAAAATAACATGTTATCCTCACGTGTGAAAATATCACCGTTGTTATGGCTACATAATAGATCGCGCCTTTCGCACCAAAACACTATTAAAGTGAAATGGTTTGGTAGTTCATTGGTGTTTATATAATAAATAGAACATTACATGGCCGCTTGGAGATACGAAATTTCTCTTCTCGTGTTGAAAAAATATTTCCAACAAAAAACAAAACAACAAAAAAAAAACAGATAGACGTCGATCCTGGCCCCAGCCCAGACCCCTCGTTTTAGTGACACCCGGCAGCTACCCTGGGCGAGCCAACTTTTCATACATATACTTACAAAACGTGGCGAATCGATTACATGAGAAACAAACAGATGAGGACTAAAATCCATTAAGAAATAGTTCCCTTAACTTTATATTTAAATAAACCGAACAAATATAATCATCATCATCAGAAATGATGTGTAACAAGTGAATGGTTCAAAAAACGGGCGTAGTTCTGTGGTATTGCCAGAACCTTAGGATTTCCTCGCATTTTTTTACGATTGTTAACACAAATTTATGCAAGATTTGCCACCTTCCACCTAAGGAAGATATGAGAATTTTGTCGATAATTGTAGGATTTTAAAGCGAGCTCTCCCCGAGTTAAAACGATTATCAAAGGGGCTATAGATATAACTCTTTAGCATTCACCAAATCAGTGGATAGATATTTTTGCGCCTTCTGATTGGCTCCCGTAACTCGGAATATCCTTGGATATTCACTGTTTTGGGACGAGATGCAAAATGGCTCCTCGTTTCGCGACAGTTTCGAAAGATGAAATGTTAGCGGTAAACGGAAGCAGCTGCACCAACAAATACCTAGAAAGAGACAAACTTTGGCTTGTTGGTATGTTTACTAGTCGGTAAAAAAAATTTTCTGACTGAATTTGCAGCAAAATCATAAAAACTGATCCCCGAAACACTGTCAAATTGAAACGTAAACAAACTCTAAGTGACGTCTTTTATTTACAAAAAGTTCCGTTTTGATATTTATCCACCTGATTTGGTAAATACTAAAACAACTACCCCCCCTCGTGGTCGGTTGATAGCGCTAGATATATAGCTCGACGCTTCGCGTCTCGGTTCATGTTACCAACACTAATCACCTCCCCTTAATTCGGAAGATAGTTGTATAATATTTTTAACACTTCCCCTTGCCCGCCTCCAGCGCACCACTGAACACTAAAGACTACAAGAGAACGATTCGTCGTCAAGAAAGAGAAGGAAGTCCCAAATGCTACTACTGTGATACGGACGAAAATATTACGGTAGAACATTTCCTTCTCTCGTGTTCCAAGTACGAGAAGATTCGTTCAGAACTTCTTTGTCAACTGCGAGGTGAACTAGAGGCTATCGGTGAACGTGGATTTCAGGTATGAGTAACACACAGTCGTTATTCTCCTCGTGACCACTCTTGTGAGTGACAAGCGTGCGCGGAGAGTAAAGTGTTTTGTTAAGGCAACGCATAATTCACCCACTTCAACTTTTGGGGAAATGCTCCATTTTTATTGAGAACGTTCTATCTGAACCTGACGTTCTCGCCTCTCGAGTCTTCGCCCATCTCGTGTTAGGCGTGTCACTTCACAAACCTTGACGAAAAATGAAAGACATATGAGAAAAATTAGGCCGTGAAAAAGGAGGATTTCTTTTGCGACCCACTTGGCGAAACGCTGTAGATGCAATGGTCGCTCGTGCTCAGAGCTGACCCTCCGCACTTTGGATAGTCTACAGGAAACTTTTTGTCAACAACGAGTATATTTATTTGTATAATCATAAAAGTATAATGCATTGCAAAACCATGAACCTTAACAAGAAATAAAAATCACATATTAATTATAAAGATATTGCCCATCATGGTATGTACCCTTTAAGTTCAGTATTCAAAACTTGGTTTTCGTGTGGAATTTGTTAAGCCGTGTAAGTATTAACATACCAACGTTCTTTCATGTCCATTTTGGGCTCAACATAATATCTGTGAAATTATAATTGCAGGTTTGGCAGAGGTTTTCGGCTAGCAGTCCATCTTGTCAATCACAGATTATATTGGGAGCACAAAGTTTTGGCGCCTTAGAAGACGAGGCAATTAGTCACTTTCGCGCACAATATGCCGCCAGGGCCTGGAGCGAGCGAATTGTGATCTAAAGACTTCTCAATGATCATCTAACCTCGTTGTCAGTTCTCTTACCCGGGTGGAGACAAGTCTGCATGCGTTTAAGGGTGACTTTAAAAAAGAAAATAAGCTGATTCTAAACGTAGGGAAATTGAATGAAAAGATAGTAATGTTATCATCGTGATTGGTAAAAGCACATCCCCATGGTTGTTTTGTCATCTATATTTCACATATAGAGTTCAGCGTACCTAATGCTAGTTCTATACGATAACGACACACTAGAACTTGAATCAGGAACAATTTTTTTTAATTTCAAAGGAACAAATTACGCAAGGGAATAGAAATAATTTTGTGAAAATACATATATTTTCTAAACAAATTATAATAAAACAATCTCACATATATGGTAACTTGTTCTTTATCTTGTTAGTTTTCCTTAATTTTAATCCTTTGGCAAGAAGCGTCGCTGGAAAAATAATTCAGTCTAAATGAAGCGCTTTACTTCAGAGATTGAGAATCAAAAATGGTGGGAATCTTGTGTGGGATCAATTTTGATGTTATTATACCTGAGTACCTCAACCCGATAATCTCCCGGGTGGGACTCACATACAAAAGTGACTGGGATGATCGTCGGAAAATTCAAATGAAACCCCTGAGGGAGATCAGTGTGGGTGTAGTTCAAGCTTAAACTGACCGCTAAGACAGATTTCTGTGCGGTCAGTGGCAGGGCATTATTGTAAATTTCTTTATGCACAGTACTAAACGATACCTGAATGGGCAATTACAGTGACTTTCCATCCCAAACACTCTAAGTGAGACCACAATCTGCAATTTACACCCGAAGCGAGACGACGAGCACCCCCGTCACTTTTATATGAGGGTTTCCCCCGGTGATAATCTGAGACCACGCTCTCTTGAGTCAGGGATAGGAGGAAGAAAAGCGAAAAAGTACTTAAATAACAAAACTATCAACTTACGAGAGTCCTGCCGATGAAGTAGTAAACTTCACAAATTATCATGATTCATCAAACAGATCAAGATGAACATACATGTTACATGTTTCGTGTAAAATATCAAGCATGAGACGCAGTGTTTCATCACCAAACCGAGAAGAGAGTTGAAAAGACGACGCGCAGCGCGGTATTTTTGACGAACTTCGAGGTGTTTCATCTGGTGATGAAACACTGTGTCGAATGCTCGACATTACTTCTCAAACGAAATAATTTTAGACGGAAAAATTAAGGATGCAAAAATGAAAAGTTTTTCATCTAAAAAATCGAACGAAAAAATGACTTTGAGACTTTTTGAATCAAGAGTTCACGTCGAACGAAAAACCTTTGAGTTCATAGGCCCCTCGCCTTTCGTCGTTACTGGGCATGCAGCCTTTCCGTTAACACGTAAGGCCGCTTTATTATTTTTGTCTTATTTCATCACTATGTATTTAGTTTGGCGAATTCGGAACTCAATGCCCTCATCACATCCTGGTGAGAGAAGGCTTCATTGCCTTTCTTGATGCGCGCGAAGTTCTCCTTTACGAACAGAGCGAAGCGGCTCGGTGTGCGAGTCTGAGGTGTGCCGTCCTTCTTTAACTGAGGAACGAGTTCTAAGCGGCTGGAAAAAAGAGAAAACGAACGAAAACAGTAAGCGGAATAACGCGAAATGGCAAAAGAAAAGACTTTCAAGGGGTCTCAGAAAGTGTATACAAATACGAGAAGGGCCATTATATACTTGCTTCACGAATATCTTTTCCTGATTTTCATGCTTCGAAAGGCTTCCTTAACCAATAGTAGTAGGAGACCTGTATGCTCATGTATCAAAGTCATTTTTCAACGGCAAAAGCGTCATTTGGTTACGAAGAGCGTGGTTCTACTGGGTCTTCCATTTAGGTTAGGTTAAATTCAATTTTTCCGTCTAAGTTCGTTCTAACAATATGAATCGGTAGTTCTCGTTGTGTAAATTTATTCTGAAAAGTACTGAGATTCTCCCCTTATTTTTTTCGGTTACGTTGACATATCGGGTTAGATTTTAATATATAAATGGCTGGATAAATTAGAAGATCTTGTAGCAGACTAAAGCAAATTTTTGAGTTGAAATCTCATGATGTCTTTATGGAAGTGACTAAAATAAGCATGGACGTACCCGTGACAATACGCGCATCTGCTTTTCTCTAAGTTCACGGATTTGGAGTGTCGACCAAACCTGATCAACAAAAACAAGAGATGATGGTTTAGTTCTTGCTACATCTTGATGCTATAAAATACCTTTCAGCAAGGGATCTCGGCAAGAATATCTGCCAAAAGGAGCGTTTCCGTTTGCGTAGAAGCATTTGGAATATCGTTAATATATAGAACAAAGAAAAGAGGAGCCTACGATAGAACCTTGCGGAACATCACATTTGATTTGCTGAATCGAGGAGCGAGTTTCTTTAAACCGGACAAAAGTAAAAGCAAACTACAGGATCAATCAGAACAAAAACTAGACTCATGGATAATTTTCCCCCTCATATAGACAATGGAAGCCTGTAACTTGGAGTGTGCACTTCTTTAGTTACTGAGCCTATTTCACGGCGTTCACAAAAAGCATCTTGTGAGTGCTTTTTCGCGCAAAAATAAAATGTACTAGCACTAGTTTGTACCAAAAATTGTTCCTTAGCCTATGGAACTTATGTAGTGCTCTAAAACCAAGCGGGTCTAAAATGAACAGGTTTATTAATACACCATGGCACAAAATGAACGATTGTTTGACCCTGTAAATATGTAAATGCAGTATTAAACTTTCCATGAATGCCGTAAATTGCAGGCAATTCCACAATAGCTACCCACAATGTGAGCAGTCTTTGACAGGACATGACCAAGAAGACAACGCAAAACAAAACTTTAATGAGCTTAACAATGCAACATAAAACTGTTAACAGGGAACTACTTCGCAAGACAATCTTCTCTGTAAGTGCTGTTACAAGGACCAGTTTTCATGGTTCCTACGAGACTGGGTCGGTGTTGTATCGAACTGCATTATGGAACTGTTTTGAGGGGACGAATTTTGACCCAGTACCCTGCGCAACCTAATAATGGGCAATAAAATAAGCAGTCATAACGTCCCGCACACACCCAGTCCCGCACGTAATGCACCAGTGAGTGTAAATCCCCCCTCCCAACCCGGGCAAAGGCCTGAGACTTGGACAAATAGGCTTGAGAAAGTGAGTGAATGTTCCTGCCCCCGGGGGAATATTTCCGTGCTTGTGTCTTCGCTTGTTCCCGCCTACCGGGGAAATGGGGGACTGCAAGGGGTGACAGGCTACACATCTTCACTGGCGTGAAACCTTGAAAACCTTTTACATAACGCCAACGCTCTAAAGAGAAGAACTCTTCCAGGGATTTAACCTTCAAATGACCAATTATGGGAGGAATTGGACAAGTTGAATACTTACGTATTTGAGCATTTGGTACATCTGTACGTGTACTTGGTATTAATTGTGTAGCTATGACAACGAGATATAGGCGGCAGGTCTTGATGAACAAAATTAGCTCTTGCTGTCCTACAAATGTAACAAAAGGAAATTGAAAGGCTTTATTTAAGGCATTATTAATTACATCTAAGATAAAGGAGGGGGAGAACTGAGGTCAAAGGTCATCAGTCTGTATCCGACCGGTCAGAATGGCCAAAAGCTCCACTTGCTGGTCACGTTGACCTGTTACGCAGACTCTTATTCTTGAACAAACAGCCAGGTCCTCACCTGTTGATCTTAGATTTTCTCTCTTTGTAAAAGTACAATCACGTTCACTAATAGAAAGTTACGCAAGGATAAGTTGGGGACTTTTTCCAATTTTTCGTCCGGTCAGAAAAGAAGACTTGACCGAGCAAAACTTTCTTTGGCCAGTCAACAGTGCTTTTCCACACACACTCACACAAAACGTTAATATTAAAACCGACATTAGAAACTCACCATTTTTCCCAGACAGGACCGTGACCAGCTTTCACGCCACTGATAATCCAAGAAGCCGCGTGACACATCTCATGTATCAGCGTGTCACGCAAACGATCTGAAAGAAATGAAAACCAAAAAAGGAAGTCTCATAGATCAATCAATTCCAAGCCTGATCATCTCCCGCTCCCCGGACATTTGTCGATTTTTATGGGCTGCAGTAGCGTGACACAGTTAAAAACAATTATTACGGCACAACTAATTTCATTCGTGGCCTTTGAACATTGTGACATCGCTTTGTCCAACAGAAAATGAGAAACCATCGGTTAAATATTTACCTGGATATTAAAGACCTTACGATCTGAAAACGGCGACGCCCTATGAAACGTCGCTAAAAAGACTGCGCGTCCTTTGAAACGTTTTTGCTCTTATACCAAGTCACCCAATTACTTGAAAGTAGGGAAGTTTGGTTACAACTGGAGAGAGGGGACTGCGTCCGAGTTCAGGGGAGATGGTAAAATTTATCGCCCTGCCGTTCCTGTTTTGAAGTCAACTCAAAATTCGACTGTTCACAGTCCTCTATTTTTTCCGTAAGATCATCGAGATCGAGAGCTTTGCGTTGCGGGCTGCCATCTTGCATGAGTGACAAAACTACTTAGGGGGCGGGGGCGGTTTGGGAGGAAGCCCCTGGAGCTATAATCCCCGACGCCCGCCAAAACGGTAGACGCGGTATATCTAAACGATCTCACGAAAAAATAGGGGACTGTGAACAGTCTAACTCAAAATTTGGTCATTTCACGTCGTAGTTGTGCAGGGACGGCAAAGAAATGTACAAAGAAGCGCGATGCACGTGCAGAGTTGTTGTTTTGCTCATAAAACCAATTGCGTTTTAGACGTTCCGGTTACCGTCGCCGTCGTAGTTTCGTTGGGTCCCTCGGGATTAACGACTGACGATTCCTTTTATCTTGAATCGTAACACACACACCCACCCTCCCCCCTAAACAATATCTTAAAACTGATTGAGACCTGAAAATACAAATGCTTCAGGTGTCAGTTTCTTACAAAACTGAAATGTTGAGTCGACAGGGCACGGAAGTGGTATTTCTAGTGCACCGTAGATGGCTGAAACCAACGTACCTGCCGAGTCAATAACTTTGTCTGCCAGCTCAATCCTAGACATGCGAAGACCATTCTTCCTGAAGAAATAAAACAGACTTAAGAAAATACTTGGACATTTTTGGCTGAGCAGAACCTCCAAATAAACAAAAAAGGGACAAAATAGATGGAGAGGAGAAGGAAAGTAGTGTGTGACTAATACGTCGGCATGGTACGCTTCGAGAGAATAAGGACTGGAAACTCTTTCTTGCACGTTGATAATTTAGTACTCAAAATAATGTTGTTGTTTTTAAGAATTCACGGTCACGTTCTTTAATTTATAAAAAAACCCCACTAGTTTAAAACATTCTGCGTATGGCTTGAAAAAAAAAAAACATGGTTTGCACCTGCCGTTTAACTAAGAAAACAACAGCTCTTAGCGTTCCATAGCGTTGTTAAGAATGGTTCATATAGACTCTAAAAGTTTACCTGCTGTAGTAGCAGAACCCAGCAGTGCTACGCATTTTCTTATTCCATGTGATCTGAAAATCTGATGGCAGCTGTAGAAAAGTGAAAAAAAGAACTTTTAGGACAATCGTCAAAAATGTTGGAAAGGCTACTTCTTTTTACCGTTTTTTTGCCCTTCTTTAAATTGCCCCCCTCCCCCTGGCGTAATATTGAAAAAAAAATTAAGTGTTTGTGGCGGACGGGGAGTATTTAGCCAAAGGGAACATCATCTGAATTGGAGGTGGGGTGGGGTAGGGGGGGGGGGGTACTAATTTTCAGAGATGATCCAAAAAAATATCTCTATCGTCACGGAGAGCAACTTTCAAAGATATAGCACTCAAAACCACCTTTATACCTTTAATTGATTCGTTTCGTGAAATCGCCAAAGCTTTTTTTTGTCGGACAAGTGATTCTTGTGCAAAACTTGAAATAAAGTAACCAGTTTCCAGTAACAAGCAATAAGCTACTGCTAGGGAGGGCAAATAAATATATACATGTGCAGTTGAAGATATCAATGATTACATCGCTTCCCGTACATAGTTAAATTAGTAAGTAATACCTGATTATCAAACACCGTAGTGTTGTACATCTCAAACAGATTTTTAGCAAGTCGCTCTCTGTTCGTCTTAAAATTCTTCTCGCTGGAGTAAGGTGTGAGTAGATCTTCCAAAACACTTCTAGGACGAGAACGATTGGTTGACGAAAATCCTGTGATTTACAAAGTATTAAAGGCAAGAAATCAAACTAAAGAACAGAATTTGAAGCAAACGACAACAAAAAAAGTGAGCTGTTTCTACCAGTATTGGCCTTTTTAGGTTTAGTGGATTTTGGCGTTTTCCAAGAGAAATTAGTCGAGGGTGTCTTGAAGGGAGTGTAACTTGTGACTGCAAAACAAGAACACAAAAAACACAGTTTGCCTCACATGCTGATAAAGATCGAATAACGTAACCAACAAAAAAGCTTTATAATCAAGAATTTCCTACTAAAGAAACTAGGTCGACACTATGGCTCTACGAATTTCAAATTTCAAATTTTGGTGAAAGTCGTAAGTAAAAAAAAATAACGCAAAATCTTCATGAAAAATAACTGGCGCAAATCTAGAAATTGAAATGTATAGAGACTCTCCTGAAATTCGCTAAGATGAAAGACTGGACTTGCTTGTGGGAGTGTTATCCCCAGAAAAAATATCCTTTAAAACTAGTAGTTAGAACATTTTTTTTTCATGTTCAACCAAAAAAAGTACAACTATATATACACGAACTTTGTTAACAAGTCAAGAACTAAATTCACTTTCGTTCCTAGCGGTTTTATTCTTTTCAAGAACGGTAGCCTACCTGGCGCTGCAATTTCGATGCAATCATCATTTTCTTTATCTGAACCAAATTCAAATTCCTCTTGGTAACCGGGATCCTCAAAGACCTCTTCTTCTAGATCTTCATCATCGTCATCGACGATGAATTCCTCTAAACTATACAGGAAAGTGTTAAAAAAAAAAGATCACAATCAAGCTTAGCTAGCCACCACCCCCTGGGTACTCCTGGGAACCCTTGGTAGGGGTGTTGTGCAGCCGGCCCCCGGTTATCCAAATCCGAACCTATTTCAGACCCAAAAATGTCAATTCCGACCTGGTTTCTAAAATCCATTTCCGTTTTCAGACATAGGCAGAAATAATGTCATCATTACTTAGATCAGTAGAGCGCCGACAAAAAGATGTCTTAAAATCCATTTCGACTTCGCACATCACTCTTTCTTTCTTATTCATTTGGAATTGAAACGACAAATACGTTCATACACTCTCGTAGTTCCCTCGAAAGTTAGACCAATTCCAGACCAAAATGGGGAAAGTCTATACCTGTTTTCAGATCAAAAATGGCGCAAAAACCTACCCTGTAGGGCGGCACACACCTATATGGCTTATATAAGGGAATAGCCCCCGTCAGGTTTTTCCTAGGCAGAGGGAAAGAGAGGAAAAAAGATGGAAATTCAGGAGAAATAGGAAGGGGAGAATTGTGCTTTGAAATAAGTGTTGGGTGCATATTGAGGTAATAAGGGGCGTGGCGTGAGATTTTGAAGGTGTACGCATGGAAAGAAAAGTTAGAGCTACGAAAGCACTCCAAACTAGGAGATTCTGGGGACATTCTTCCACAGAAAATTTTTAAATTTAGGGTATCAGAAGAGCCATTTCCTGAGTTTTCCGTAGGACATTTTCAGTAAATAAAAAGTGTTGTTGGTAAGGTACAGTGTTTACGGAAAAGAGGGTAAAACAGTGGCATTGTTGAGGAGGCTACAAGCAAAGGGCGAGACGTCTACCCTTTATGATAAAAATTGCTTTCAGAAAAATATAATATAATTATATATTTTTTTGAGATTTTAGCTGTGGAAATGGTGCTAGCAAAGGAATCAATGATTGGAAAAAACAATCTAAGAAAAATTAAAGAATTTTCTGATTAAGATAAATGAGCTGAACTGGAATTTATGTCATCTTTCGTCTTGTTTAAGAAGTTCAGCTATCTTGTCCATCAATCACCCCTTTAGCCCTTTTTTTATAAATTAAAGGTTAAAAGAAATACCTTTTTGAATCTGTTCTTTTCTCCTCCTCAGAAAAACTGGGTCTTTTAGGTGTTTTCATTTTCTGCAAAACTAAATACAAGTGATTAGAAATTTCGAGGAAGAACTCGAAATCAGAAAGACTTTGAGGCTAGATCTGAAACAGTTACTGTTGACAAATTGATTTCTGACTCAGTGCAGTAAAAACCCTCGACTAAAAACCTCCATTTTCCAAAGTTAGCCTAAACAAATGGTAACTAGCACAAATTCAGGCTATTTAGGTTATTCAATAGGATCTTTTTTTTCTGAAGAAAACAATATAAATTGTAGCTTAAAATATTTAGTGGTTTTCAGCTCATATCTTATGTAAAAACCGCATACCATTACATTGCAGTTGGAGAGATGATGTCTCCAAAGTCAAAAAGGATCCTGAATGTGGACTTATCTTACTAGCCCATTGTACAGTCAGAATTTTTTTAGAGACAGAAAATAAGAACTTGTTTCAAATTTTAGGCTTAATAGGGTCTTGTATAAAGGGGGCCTAACTGGCTAACGGGTTTTTACTACCCTAAGTCAAGACATACATACCCAGCAAAAAAGGCGTACCATGAGTGCAACATAAAACCTGAGGGCGAGGGGTGAAACTGGGAACTGACTATATGCAGTTGGAAAAAAATTACACAAGTGAAATTCACTTACACATCTCAAAATCATCACTTTCACTTTTCACTGGGTTGTACTTCTTGAACAGTCTTTCACTTAAACTACAAATAAGAATTTTCAAAAAGTGAAGGAATAAATAATGATAAATTATTAAGTACTCTCTAAGATACAATACAGGTACTTGCTATTAAAATAATTTATCTTAAAGTGTAGTTGTAGCTTTGATTATATTTGACTGCAGCAGGATTAGCTCAGTTGGCAGAGCACTCGACTGCAAAGTGGGAGGTCGCAGTACAAAACTCAATACTCAGGGTCTTAAAAAATAACTGAGAAATAAAGGCATTGCCTTAAAATAATGGTCCTGTTTCCAGTGGGAGATGTAAACTACACTGTAGTATCCTCTATTAGTACTTTTGTGTTAACTACATTCATTTGACACTTGTAGAATCACACACAGGGCTGCAAATAATTTTTTTTCTCTTGAAAGGAAATATGTCCTACTATTAAAGATACCATCTTGGTCAGACAAAACCAAATTTTGGTCGGAGATCACCAAAAAAAACGGTTGAACTTTATATCGGGTAAAACAGAGGAGATACTATGCTAATGTAAAAGAAAACTTCACTACCAAAGTCAATGTTGTTTCATGACTTTGAGATCGTCCTAACACAAAGTAAGATATACTCAAGGTAGATTTTATTTTTCCTTACTGTAAAATGATTTACGATAAAAAATTCCCCCGACATAATGTCTGAATGCACATTGGATTTTGTCGGACACTAGCAAATTTTGGCTGGCCAATGACTGACGACCGACTGTTATCTGCAGCCCTGACACACATTTTTGTATAGAATCACAAAAAAAAAAAATAATAAATAAAAAATACAAGGATAAGCAACAAAGCCTTAGCCTCCATGCACATATCTTCAAAATAGAAAATGCCTATACAGGCTACAATTTCCAGTAATTTGACAATTATGGGTTCTCAGTTTTTATCAATTTACAGGACAAAAGAAATGGTAGAGGAGAGTTTTTGTTTAACCTGGTTGAAGGTTTCATTATTACTAACCTGAGAGGTAAATTAGGGCTATCAGAAATACTTTTGTCATCATTATTGCTGCCATCAGTCATGCTGTGGAAAAAATGTGTTGAAAAATTGACAAAATAAGATTCAAAACAATTTTTTGTGCCCTGAATTATTACTATTATTTTTTTTTTTTAAAAAAGGAAGAACAACAGGAGCTTAAAATAACTCAGGTTGCTGAGTCAGACTAAATGTTAAAATAATGACATTTTAATGACACCACCCTAACTATAGTTGCTGGAAAGAATGATATTGCTGAAAGAATTTTTTCTCTTACCTAGATACTGGCCTTGAAAATAGTTCTGTTGCTGATGAGTCACTGCAATCATCTATGTTAATGGACTTGACCAATGAGGAGGTCTCAATGTCTTTTTCATCTTTCTCATCCCCTTGCTTAATACCTACCTGTATTCCTTCATAGTTACTGCTGTTACCACCTCCATAATCACAAGCTATATTATCACTGCTGTGATCTTCACTGGAATTGTGGACTGCCAGTTGTTTAAATGGGGATTCATTATGGAAAACTGTCTCATTTGTGGTTTCTTTATTAAGATGTTCTGCATTGCCTGCTTCATAATCGTGCACTGTGAAGCTATGTCCATCTGTACTGTGCACTGCTTCAAACTCCACTGCTGGATTACAATCATCTGTTTCTCCTATGTTATCAGCAACATGTTGGATGCCACACTCACCAAAAGAAAGGTATCCTTGATTTAATTCACATGACTTTGCCATAGAGTCAGACTCATCAACATCATCATTGGCAAAATTATCTCCACTTTCATTGCTGCTATCCATAAATCCACCATCATCACTACCACTTCCAGCACTGTTATCAATATTGACACAATCATCTTCATCATCATCATCACCATCATTTTCAGTATCACTACTTTCATCTGTATTGTTGACATTATTAGTGACTTCATTAATGTTAACAACATCATTGCTCCCATTATTGGCAAAACTACCACTACCATCACTGCTACGGCTATCAACACTATCACTGCTGGCATCAATATTAAGTTCACTACCTTCATTACTATCATCCACATCAGCACCATCATCGTCATCAGGAATGACCACAACATCACTGCTAGAAGAGCGCCTGCTTTCTTCATCAACGTCTTTTTCTTCTTTGTGGTCAGCTAAGTCCATTTTTGTTTTAATATTTTTATCAAGAGATCCTTTAATCTGTTTGATTTCTCTACGAAGCTAAGAAAAGACAAAACAATGACATAAAATTAATCCAGGCTTTGCCACAGGCAAGAATTTCCCAAATTTCAAATTTTCAAGAAGCTTTATATTTTAGCGTTGACGTTTGTTACATACCGCCTCAATTTTCTTTGCCAGAGAGACATCAAACCAGCCAAACTTTTTTCCCATCATGAGAAACTTTTCCCTGACCGGATCGCCGTCAAAAGAATCCATTATTTCAAGAAAACAACTTTGCTACATTCGAACAAGATGAAATCGATCAAACAACGAACCAAATTTCCGCGCTGAACGAGCCAGAAAGGCGAGGCTACTCAATGTGCCGATCTGATTGGCTTGTTTATATTGGCTTTCACCAATCAAAATCCCATGAGTAGCCAGGCTGTTTTTACTCCTGAAGGGAGGGGTTTGGTACTCTTTGTAAAAGTTATGGCAGAACTTGCGGCGAGTCATGTTTATGTCCCCGTTTCTCGTGGCATTCCATTTCTGAGTGGTAATCTTTTAGCTACCTTAGGCTGCAAAAAATGGACTTCGACACGTACAGTGTTACTTCTTCGTCATGTCTGTCAATCAGCGATTGCAAATGATACTTCTCTGTTCGAACAAAAACAAGCAAAGGACAAGTATAATGCACTCAACTCTTTCTCAAATTTTCCAAGATCACGATGTACATTTGCTACAAATACAGGCATCAGGAGAAAGGATAATAACTCAACGAGTTTAAAACTGTATTCTGGATTTCACCGGGGAGATGTCAACAAACTAAAACGGGAGTATCTCTATTCTCGACGGCATTTTAACACGGCATCAATGGTGGAAGCTTGCCCTAAGGCGGTGCAGCCATTTTTGCGCTTGATTCGTTTTGATAAACCAATAGGAACATGGTTGTTGTATTTACCATGCACATGGAGCATAGGACTTGCGGCTTCTCCAGGCATCTTACCAGATCTCCAGTTGTTAGCTCTGTTTGGACTAGGGGCCCTAGTGATGAGAGGGGCGGGGTGCACTATTAATGACATGTGGGATGTGGACTTTGATAAAAAGGTAAATACCATTACTGTATGGGGATAGCGACGTGACTAGGAGAGGGATTCTACTTTGGAACTACTGAGACATTTGTTGATTTCAGTTGTTCCCAATCCTCATTTAACACAGCTGCAGAGTAACTGAGGGCTTTTGATAGCATGAGAAAACAGCCGACATTTCACGATGCTACCACTGGTTTTCCCCGGAAAATAATGTCTGAGAAACGAGTGCAGAAATTCCATACTGATGACATGTGATCTGGGTAGTAATAATGTTATAATGTGTCATCAGTAAAGAATTTCTGCACTCATTATGATGTCATTTTGGGGGGAAACTATTGCTGGCATCACAGAATGTTAGCTGTTTTCTCAGGCTAAGCTTTCAACAGCTTCATTGTAAACCTAACAGAAGCTGGTGTATGGCTAAAGATAGTTAATTTGCCTTTTTACTATTTGTGTGTTTGTTTCTTTATTCCCAGGTTACTCGTACCATTTCTAGACCCTTAGCAGCCGGTTCTGTTACTTTTTTCCAATCTTTGGTATTCCTTGGAGCACAGTTGTCAATTGGGTTGGGAATATTACTCTCTCTTAACACTTACAGGTATCTGAATATATTATGACAGTCATCAATCAAACCATGACAACCACTCTGGTATTATTAACAAATTTTGATTTGATAAGGTAGATTGGCCACTGTATTGGTGGATTGAGAAACTGATAATTTGAGCACTATTTGTTTATCAGAGGTAATTATTAATGACCTTCAGAATGAACAGATTCACTTTAGAAAAAGGCCAGGGCTTGAATTTAAGGCCAGCTTCTCAATCCCCCTAAAACAGTGGTCGATCGACCTTATCAACTATGTTAATAAAACCAGAATGTTTATATTTCACTTGTTAACCAATGCATCTCTACAGTTTCTTTAGAAATTACCCCTTCACCCCAACCCATTTTGTTACAGTGGTACTAGTCAGTTGTTAGAAAAATTATTTTAAGCGAAACATAAAATACAAAAATTGATGCCATTTGACAAACAAAAGATTTTTTTCTGATTATGCACAGCAGTTATACTCTATGGTGTGTTTATGTTTCCAATGAGTTAAGTTATGTGAGGATCCATTTGTAGAATTTCCAACATTTACAGGTTTTGAGATCCCCACAAAGGCTTAATAAGTGATCCTTTTTTTTAGGAGGCAGCGTGGTCGAGTGTTTAGAGCGCTGGATTTGCAATTCGGAGGCCCCAAGTTCAAGTCACGCCCTGACCACCAGCCGGATTTGTTCACGGTAGTCCCGAGTTCAAATCCTCGATCGCGCTTGTAAATAGCCAGCTGGTTTGTCTCCGGCCAGCTGGGATTCTTAACCCTGTTAAGTTCAATTTGAATTATTTGTTTCAGGCATTTGCTTGGCCCCACTAGCATAAGTGGTATAAATTCTGCTGAGGTTAAATGAAATTATTATTAAATTTATTTATTATTAAAAAGGAATGAATCCCCCTAATTTATTGTGTTTAGGAGCTTAATGATGAACTTTTTTGATCAAGCTGACCATTCCCCATCTTCGTTTCTGCTTTTCTTTACCAGCTAGTTTAAGCTTGAGAATTTCTCGGGCCAAAAATTTAACTTGGTTTTATGTTTTTGTGTGTGTGTGTTTCCTCAAACAGTATTGTGCTTGGTGCATCATCGCTTTGTCTTGTCATAACTTATCCATATATGAAACGGATCACATATTGGCCTCAAGCCTTCCTTGGTAAGCGACCAGGTCACATCCTTGCAACCAATAATAACTATTTTAGTTGAACCTCTCCACAACAGTCACCTTGGGGCAGAAGAAAGTGGCCATTGTAGAGAGGTGTTTACAAACAAGAGTCAATGTATGAACCGTCCGCCAAAAAAACTGGATGTTGTAGAGAGGTGGCCATTGTAGAGAGATGGCTGTTACTGGAGGTTGGACTGTATTAACAGAACTTTGAACTTACACCAGTCACAAGAATGCCATTTATTATATCTGCTTATACTAATATCCACTCTTTGTGTTTTTTTCTTACCTACTTAGTTTTTAGCCATGCCGTAAATTTTCCACATCTGCAGTGACAGCTGTTTAATTAAACAAGTTCCGTTCTTTGCATTTTTTCTTAGCTTCAATGTAGCTGTCCCCTCTGTTTTCCACATCTGCAGTTTGTATAATTACATCTGCCCATGTACTTGAATGTGCTTATTGTATTACTTGCCCCTTTAATTTGTGCCATGACTTCTTCTTTTTTCAACCACACCCCACAAGTGCATTATTTTTCTTGTAATAGGCCTGACATTTAACTGGGGCGCACTTCTTGGCTATTCTGCTGTCCAAGGAAGCTGTGATTGGTCAGTTTGCTTGCCACTGTATTTAGCAGGAATCAACTGGACGCTTATTTATGATACTATCTATGCTCATCAGGTTGGTTGGCAGAAAGATTCTCTTTACTTCAATTTTTGCATTTTAATCTTGTACTTGTTGGTTGCTATAATATTATTGGGAATAAATATTGTCTTTACGTATGAGCTAAGGCTGTTACAATACATCAAACTATCGATTAAACACAATATTAACGCAGCAATAGCAATGAATCGATAGCAAAAATGAAACATCAATAACGATCACAATAGTGTAGCAAACTATTGATAGTTTTGATAGTTTCTATACTTCTAACATTTTGATGTCTTTGGAAAATAAAGGCACCTTTTTTACCCATCCTTGATTCTTAAGGTCACAATAATGGTAAAAAATAAACCGCAAACAATCTCCCATGCTACTGCACCTAGAATGTTTAAGTGTCTTGATTCTTGAACCGCACAGTAACTGTATTGTATGACCACCACTTCTTAGTTATTTCTTAAAGTATAAGGCATTAATTAAAAACAGATATTCCTGAAAGCTATCGCAACACTATTGCAATAGTACCTCCACCATCGCAATACTATCGCAATATCCGTGTGGCCTATTGCAATACAGTTGCAGTAGTTAAAATTTCCCCAATACTCAACCCTAATGTAGGCATGGAAGTAATCTTGCCATAGCTTTGTTTTGCATTTTGATAAATTACGTAACTATTTAAATGGAAAAGCACATTGATTGACTGCGCTTCATGCAAGAACAGTCTGCTGTGAGTGTATCTTTCACAGAAGTAGAGAGTGATCTTCCTCATTTAGTTTTGGTCATCAGAGTAGGCATCTTGATAGTGCTGACATCCAGAGTGTTTTGCTATGGGGTTGAAACGTGTAACTCTCATTTGCTTGCTTTGTCTGATGCTCGGGATTATTCATTTTTGAAAGTACCATATTTGGAATGAGAAGAAGAGATAACTGACCAATCACACTTCGTAAACAACGTGGCCTAATTTTACTTCAGGTTCCCATGCCTGCTTAAAAACAATGGCCAACAAACAGGGGAAAAACTCCCGAAAGCTGAGAAAGTTTTCAAAGGTTGAAACCAGGAATCTTACCGAAACACTGAGCGGGATATTATTGCCTTACCTCCTGGGCCAAATGTAACATTATGAAACCCACTGACGTCCTCGCAACTTCTTGAAGTTGTCACTTCAAAAAGCGATGTTGAAAATGGTGTCTGTCACGAAGGTTTCCAAATATGGCAAAAGTGAATATTCACGAGCATTGAACGCGAGTTACACATTTCAACCCATTATGAGTTTCTGCTTTGACTTAATACAGTTTCAGCTTTTCAGGTGATCTAAAAACCAGGCTTTATAGTTGTAGTGTACTAACTCTTCACCCACCTGTTCTCCATGTTTTGGTAATGTTTTTGTTTGTTTGGTTATTTGTTATTTTTGTGAGTAAAGATAACTTTTCTGAATGAGTGAATCCAGTATCTTGATACAATTATGTGTGTTATTTAGCCAGTCATTCTTAAGTCAACCTTAAAAACTATTATTTTATGCCTGTTAAAGGATAAGACAGATGATGTGTTTATTGGTGTCAAGTCAACAGCACTGTTATTTGGAGATCAAACAAAACCTTGGCTGACAGGATTTAGTGCACTGATGTTAAGCAATCTTGCTATGGTTGGAATTAACAGTGGGCAAACATGGCCGTATTATGTTGGGTTAGGCTGTGTTGCAGCTCATCTTTCTTGGCAGGTAAAATACTTTTTAATTTTAAATTATTTTAGTTATATATTATTAATTGAATGCAGGATGCTTAAACCTGCATTCAAGTTTGACTTATTTTTTCACTATAAATAACCTCATTGGGCCATTTAACCTGCAAATGCAGACATAATTTCCAGTTATGGCTTCTCTCCTCTCGAAAAGTTATTTTTGGGGAGGAGTGAAGCAGCTATCACTGGAAACAGGTCTGTGTTTGCAGGCTACTGGACAACAGATAAAAAAACTCATATTCAGATCCTCAACGTTTTTACAATTTCCTGTACACAGAGCCATTGTTTTGCTCTACTTCCAGGGTGCATTTGAGGAATTGACCTTATGCCATTATTGAGCTTTGATCTGGCATTTTTTGATTAAAAATCGCGGGAAGTTCATACCGCCCATCTCCGTTTAGGGTTGGACGCTATCTTGACGAGGAGACGGTGGACATTAAAAGACAAATCAAAGAAGGCATCCATATCAGACGCCAGCGTTCAACCCTAAACAGAGATGATGGTTATAAACTTCCCGCGATTTTTAATCATTTGTTGTCACGTGACTACAGTACAGCCAAAAATAATGCACGTGATATGCACGTGCAAGAATTAGCGCAAGAAGTTGATGCGCCGCAAGAACACGCAAGCCACGTGCCGTATTTTTGCGGTTTACCCGCGAGAACTTTGAAACGCAAGAAGTCAAAAATCTAGTACATTGCCAAGGTAAAGAATGAACATTCATGGAATCAATTGCCTTTGCTTAAGCTTGGGGCTGAAGCAAATAGTCCATGGTTATTGCATTAGACTTGAGCGTTTCAGGGCCTTACAAGTGCAAGTTCCTTTTCTTCTGGAATGTTGTAACCTTTGTTACACAAACTTGGTGAAACAAGTGAATAATAGTATCATAAAGCACACTGTATTTATGTAATAATGAAAAGATCAGAGTTCAAAACAATGCACCACAAAGCAAAGCTGTCACAGTGAATAACAAAAGAAAAATATTTTCCTTCCTGACGCGTCCGAGCTGACGCAGACGCTCATCAGCGCCGACGCGTACCTTCGTCCGAGCTGACGCGTCCATCGCGTCAGTTTCGCGTCTCCATTGTTCGCATAGCTCTGGCCTGCACTGTACATTTTGCAATGCCATCACTTTTTTCCCCGTCAAATGGCGTCTGAGAAACGAGCGCAGAAATTCCATACTGATGATGTGTCACTACCCAAATCTGGGTGGTGCTTCTGATTGGTCACGCCACGTGAGAAATTTGATTCAACCAATCAGAAGCACTTCACAGACTCGGGTAGTGACGCTTCATCAGTATGAAATTTCTGCGCTCGTTTCTCAGACGTCATTTCGCGGGAAAACCAGTGGTTGCGACGCGAAATGTGGACTGTTTTGTCAGGCTACGAGTTCTGAAACCTGCCATTTTATTCTATCAGGGAGAACCAAGAGGTACATGTACAAACAATTCTGATGTTTGTTATCTGACACAACATTCATTTTTATTTTGCAGATTAAAACTGTGGACCTGTCTAATTCAGCTGACTGCCTCTCAAAGTTTAAGTCCAGCAAATGGTTAGGGCTGCTTCTTTTTGCTGGAATTGTTGGAGGGACAGTTCTAAAAGAATCCTCAAACAGTGAAAATGAAGAGATGAAAGCTTAATGTTAAGATATTAGAGACTTAAAGATACACCGTTTTTTGTGTTCAGGTACGGGTAAATTACGTGTGTGCGGCATAGCCATGAGTACAGGTAGACTGCCTCTTACCCCAGAGAAACGGGTAGGATACTGTGTAGAACGATGACATTATTTATCTCATCTGGGAAATGATGGTCGCCTTGTATTTAACCACGTGGTAAACATGGTCGCCTACCCATACCCGTAGGTAGAAACATGAGGGAGTTTTAGCATCGACGACAGCGAGGGCAGCGAAAACGTCACTTTTAAAATGAATGAGCGTCTTAGTTTTCAAACTTAGTCGCGTTTATTCCAATTCGCTGAAAATGTCTAATGCGGGCAAATTTCCCTGCAGGGCCCAGTTGTTCGAAGGCCTATTAGCGCTTAACCCGAGGTTAAATTTAACCCGGGTTTCTTTTTCTTGTGTTTAAAAGAATGTTCTCGGATAATTTTCTCTGTTATTATAATCAACTTGCAGACAAAAAGAATTAGAACTGAAATGATTTTTAAGCTTTCATATCTGAATTCAAATCTCGCTCTAACCCTGGGTTATCTTAACCCAGCTTTGAGTTGATTTCTTCGGGACCGCACTCAAGTCTAGAAAGAGAAAGGAAATTTCGTCGTCGCTTGTTTACGTCCTCCACAAAACGTGAAATTAGCCATTTTCGGGTCGTAGTCGTGCAGTAACGGCCAAGAAATGTACAAAAAAGCGTGATGCACGTGCAAACTCGTTTTGCATAATAAACCTATTGCTGTTTTGACGTTCTCGTTGCCGCCGCCGCCGTTGTTACTAAAACTGTGTATCTAAAGGTCACTACTGTGAACAAACGGATTTCTTCAAGCCTCAAGACGCTTATAGTTAGCTGCTCAATCGGCATTGCAGGTTAGAAACTCCCTCTGTGACCAGTCTGATCTGTGACTCCAGAAAATAAGGAATAACCGTCTAAATTTCTGAATGTCACTTTAACAATCCTTGTCCACTTTATGGACAATGGATTTTCTGGCTACCGGTAACTAACTTTCTGGTTAACCCTTACGCCCCAATATCCACATACAAATTCTCCCAACTGATCTCCATAAATTTCCATAAAGAATTAATTAAGAGAATTTGATATAAGATCCTCCTTTTTTCCCTTTGGTGATCATTTATACACTGTAACGCTAGTCAACAGCAAATTCATGAGACAAGTAATTAAAGGTGCAAATTTTTTATTGCGTTTATTGTTTCAAATCCCTGCTGATGGCAGTTTCCATTCAAATCCTAAGCAAATAAATCTAGCCAGCTATACAATAATATTGATATCAACCACAATTTGTTCCAAAGATTTGAGGAAAAATAAGTTAATATTTATAATAATATTATATGCAAAGTATTATAAAGTTGCCACAGTTCAAAACTCACTGTCAGTGGAATATAAACAATCAAGAATAATAGAATATTAGGAACTTTCTGTCAGGAAGTGGTAGGCTGCGTTGTAGACGTAATTTAAGGGTTGTGACTAGAATGGATACCCCAAAGTCAGATTGTCATCTTCAATCAAACTATGATAGGAGTCTAATAAGAGAAGAAAGAAAACAGAAGAAAACAGTAGGTGGTATGTTGGACTTGAACCCGCGTCATTTGAGTTATAATCCATATCCGTATCCACCACGCCATCAAGGGCTAACTGGCAAGACCGGTTAATTTTAACGCACTTTACATGGCGTTGATCATTACATTATTGAAAGCTAACCGTTGTTGAAACAGTGCTTAACCCTGATCACAGTACTTCGGTGCTAAACCCTGTATTCAACACTTTTTCTTGCACAACTGTCTCTGACTCTGATTTCCCCACTTTTCTAAAAGTTCTCCTGCCCAATAAAGTCGCCGAATTAATATAGTATAGCGAGGTGTAGAGTGTAGCATTGTGTAATAAACATAAGGTGTCCAACCTGATTTTGAGGTATCCATTCTAGTCACAACCGTAATTTAACCTCGGTTAGTAACGTCTGCGAAGCAGCGCTCGCTGATCCTTGTTCTGGGCCCTCAACGAAAAACCGGAAGTGCGTTTTGAATTTCCTTTCAACCTGATTGGTAAATCGACAATGGCTTATTTAACACGCCAATCATTGCATGTACTCAAATCCAGGTACACAGATGGAGACCTAGAACACGGATTTCGGCGCTGTTTCGCGAACTTAACCAGTGTTTTGTTTCGTCTGTGGCACAGCCTAGGAAGTACATACATAAAAAAAACAAAAAACATCGTATTCCAGGTTCAACTTAGAAAAGTTAACACTACCTCCCTAAGGCATGTCAGATATCAGGACAATGGACTTCAAAACAATGTAAAAGCATGACAATTTTGTGTATATTGGATTATCATTTCCAGTGGCAAGAAATTCTACACAGAATTGACATTATCCTCTCTTCGACTCATAAACGCTTTACAAATTCACATGGTTAAGACAGGAGATCATGCACTGAGATGTGTCTGGATACCAGATGAAAACCACAGTATTACATTCCTACTAACTCATTATAAAACATCTCTTTAGTGTTCAGTTTAGCGTTTAGAGTTTCTTGTACAGTGTTTCATAAATCCAATATCCAGTTAGCTTCAGATTCACTGTTGGTCTTAATAAAAAATACCGCCTTCTACGCGCATTTATAGAAACCCTAGTCTATTTTTGTTGTTGTTTGCTTATTATAATGACAACCCTGTGTAAGACTAGATGATCAAGTGTGCAGGTCAATAAATTATTATTGTTCCAAAGCACCTTAAGCACCTGTGCCATTGACCTCCAAAAATATCACAGTAGAAAAATAGATCTTGATTGTTGGAAGCTTGAGGCTAAAAAACACTAAACAAAGCCACCAACGAGCTACTATGCTAAGAAGTGCTGGCAAATAATGTGCAATTTCTTTTAACAATAAATTATTTTTCTATTGTCACAACAATATTGCAAATATGATTAAGCTTTCTTGCTCAAGTGATCATTAATAATAATTATTACTACTATTATAGCAATATTAATAATAATAATAATGATAATAATAATATGTTTTGAAAAGCTATTTTTAAGCTGTATGAATTGTTCACCCAAGCCGGACCTGACATGTTTTTCATGGTATGAACTCACTTACATGCAAGTAGAATATGGAAAAGGCCTATATAATATCATTTTGGAGTATAAAATGTAAGAAGAAATTTTGCAAGTCTGTACAAGGCGTGAGTGAATCTGAATTATTTAACTCCAAAACTAGCTAAAGCGAGGTAAAAATTGTGATGGGTGTGTTCCAGTTGAGGAAGTCTGATTGGGGTCTAAAAAAGGAAACAACAAATAAATATTTATCAGTTCAAGTCATGTAAGAATATGCAATAATTTTATTGCGGGCATGGGCACTGCACTGAAATAGGTCATTGCGCTACTACGTTGTAGTAGAATCTTGTCAATATTTTTTGGTTTGCTAGTGCAACATGACATTATTTTTTTTGTTTCTCTTCATCAAGTTTTCACCACTTTTTAACTCTATTAATGTTAAGAGCTGAAATGTGTGGTAAAACAATTAATTTTAGAAGAAAATGTTTGTAAGCATAATTATTATTGTTCTGAATACAAAGTTTGGTTTTCTTTTATTAAAATAAAGTACAGATTTTTTAGTAACAAAATGCCTTTAAGATATCTACTGTGCAAGGGATCCAGTCTCACAATCACTCCAAAACAGGTGCAAATAAACCAAAGATCGGACCTTAAAATTACACCAGTCCTGCAATGGCTTACAAGAAAAAAAAAGTTATTCTTTAAATTTTATTGTTATCATTTAAAACATCTTTGTAAGATAAAATATCACTGCCTTACACGTAAATTCACAACATCTCTTGTTAACAACTGATGTTAAGATGTTACCTGCTTTTATATTTTTACCCCAAAAAACTGGAGGTAAAATCCAACTGTTTAATCATTATTAAGAGACACTCATTCAAATGACTTCCATCATTGCCTTTTTCACCATAAATTACACTGTAATCGAGTTTTAAATGTAAAGTTAATTTTTATTGACTGTCAATTAAATAACTTGAAGAAATAAACAACAAAATAATATTTTGAGGTTAAATACCTTGATAAACGGGCTGATTTGAGAGCAATGCAGCATGCGGAAGCTGTAAGGAGGGCAAGCTTTGAGTAGAAGTAGGGTTCATTCCCAAGAGAACTGTTGAAATTTGAATAACAATTTATTTTAAAATTTATTTATAACATTAATTCATGAAAATATTTCTTCTTGATATTAACTAGACATATTTTGTGCAAAGTGAAGAGACCATTTCACTGAATAAAAGAACACCAAGCAAGTTGTAGATACCGGTGTCCTCAATTCCAGCTTCAAATTTCTCCAAACAAACAGCTCTCCCTCATTACAGTACAACCCCCTTTAATGCTGCAAATTCAACAACATTCAGTGGCATGCAAAGTTTCATTATTATGAGTTAACTTGTTATTAACATTCTATTATATGAAGTAAAAGTAATAGTTTTTTTTAACTTATCACTTTAAACATTATCTTTTATTGACTGTATGCAGACATTACTTGGATAAAATTAATATTCTTAAAACATATTCTATAAGATTAGCAAATAATGTGTCCAACTATTTTAACTGAAATAACATTCATTTTAATTGTTTGAGCAATACGCGAAGTTTTTAATGAAATTACATGTTTGTACCAACTAGGAATCACCACACAAACAAAAGTAAGAATCAAAATAAGCAAGCACTTTAATTTAAGGCAGACCGCAATGTAGCAGACATAATAAACTCTATTTTCTTGACACAATAACTTTGAAGCAAAAGTCACTCTCAGGATTCAGAAAAATAATGTGTCTGCTACTAGAGGTGGCCACTAACATGAATTTTTTGAATTTGGGAAGATAGTCTTCTCCACCTTCCACCCTCTCATCACACATAGGGGCACAGGGAAAAGAGATGAAACACAGGTACACAAACACAGAACAACTCAAACACATGTAAGCTGCTGACCATGACTCCGTGACTCATAGCCTCATCTTGTTAAGAAATCATAATTTATGTTCAAAAACTCATTTATCATTCATAAAGAAAAAAAACGAAAGAAATGAATGTTTGATGAGTGTCTTTATATCTGATGAAGACACAGCTGCACTTGATTAGGGATGTGTGCAAGAGATACTTCCCACTTCTTCAGGGCTTGAAAACAACTTGCAATGACTTCCAGTATGCCAACATTTTGCTTTTCCCAGGTGGTTATCGAATGCAGGTATAAGTTCATGACATGTTCCTTGTCCTTGCCCATTGAACAAATAAAAATGGAAAGGTACTAGCCTGGCAGGAAAAGCTAATTATTCCCGACTACCAGCACTTTTTTAAAAGAGAATAAAGCAGCAATACTTTTACCTTGATTATTAAAGTGATTTTGAGGCAGGACAATGCCAGATTGTTCCTGTGTCTGTCGTGACAGATGTAGCATAGCAGATTGAAGAGTATGTGGGGCAATGCCAAGATGTGTTAAAGGAGTGGTGACCTTGCCTGCCTGTAGATTGCCAGCGGAACCAAACAAAGTCAGATTAGGAGGTTGGGCTTGATGCATTGCCTGGGAAGGCATCGAAGAACTTAATGACATTGCAATTGACTGAGGAGACATTCCCTGATGAGGAGTGAAGCCCGGGAGCACTGTTTGACAGCTCTTGAGGTCCACTGATGATCTTATTAAAGAAACATGACAACACAGAGATACTATTACACACCACCATAGACATTGCTAGAAATCATAGCCATCCCGATAGAATATTATAAATTGTGTGCTAATGAAAACCTGCCGCAAGGAGCACTTAGTACCGTGCACCCATGGACCAAAGTCCAGCCATTTTTTTGAACACCTTTTTATATACCGTATGTATTCGAATAAGCACCCAACCTCGAATTAGCGCCCACCTCGAATATGCGCCCATCCTAAAGGCAGAAAAAGTTAATAAGCGCCCAGCCTCGAATAAGCACCCACCCCACCCCACATTCACACACATTCTGCTGTTCTTCATTGCAAAGCACCGTCTTGTTTAAGAAATTTGGGAGTTTTCGGTATGTTCTTTCTGACCATCCCACCCAATCCCAAAATTTCATGCTGTTGACAACTTACCTTCGTGGTGAAGTGATGCTCTCCAAAACTGCTTGAGAAGGAGGAGTTCCACCCGCAGTAACAGCAGCCTTTTGCTGTTGTTGTTGTTGCCTCAGTGTTGACGCCAGATCAACAGCAGCCTTCAGTTGTTGTTGTTGCTGCTGCTGCTGCATTAGAGATGAAGCTAAATCAGCAGCAGCTTTTTGCTGCTGCATCAAAGAAGAAGCTAGATCAACAGCCGGTCTGGGTTGCTGCCTCAATGATGCCAGATCAATGAAATTATTAGGCAATCCAGCTGCAGTGAGGTTCCCCACAGTTGCCGCCAGCAAAACTGATTGGTTCACACTTGGGATTGTGACGGGAGATGAGCGAACAACCTTGGGTGGGGATGCCAAAGCTGTTTGAGTTCGTGCAGGTGAAACAGTTGACGACTGAGCAGGATGTGAAACTGCTGTTGTAACAACTGAACTGGGAAGGTGAGTAAGTGGTTGATCCTTGGGCTTTTCCTTAGTCGGTGAAGGTGTCTTGTTGAGAAATGAAGCTAGCTGCTGTTTTGCAGGTATAGACTGCTGAGAATGCAGCAGTTTGGATGTATCTGCTTGCCCCTCTGGTGATATCATGTCTGCAAAATCTAGAATTGTTACTGGTGTCTTAGACTTAGGGCTCTCTAACAGCAGGGATGGATTAGGAGGTTTTGATGCATTGTCTTTCTTAGCAACGCAATCAGAACCAAGAGATCGATTTGCAGAAGATGATTTTGATGCGGTGTCTTTTTTGTTCAGTTTTAAGTCTGTTATTATTGGAACAATCTGAAGTGTAAGTTCAGGCCTGTTTACAGTAGTGCTTTCCATTTTGGTTGCAGTGGCTGTACTAACAACTGGTTTTGGAACTGATGTAGCAACCGTGGAATGAATCACAGGAGCTGCAGTTTTGATATTACCAGCTTGGCCAGACTGCACAAGATTCTTAAGAGCTGATATTGCTGGTGTTACTGTGGCAGCAGACAATGCTGGTGTTGCTGTGGTCACTGAACTACTTCCAATGTTAACGACTAGTGAGTTGCTACTGGGTAGTACCTTTGCCACTGGATTAACGCCAGCATTCTAAATTTTCCACAATAAAGACAAATATGAATGCATTATTTCAAATGTTTGTAACTGACATAACCTTCGTCAGGAGCCCATAACCTGGAGCGAGCAACTTCCATGCACTCGTGTCACAGCATTTTCATGAACCAGTTTATTTTTACAACAGTTCTGGTGCGATTTTTGAATATCTTTTAAATTCCACAAACCAGTCAGCAAAACCTACAGAGCTAAAAATCATATTTTTTGCCTTTTAATAACGTTACGTTGTCCTTTTTGATATCTTATACTTCAAATGTGCTCATAGATATGGTGGAGATTCTATTTTCACAGGAAAAAGTGCCCTAAAATGTGCCTAAAAATAAACTGGTCTGTAAAAACGCCGTGACATAGGCCTAGTATGGGAGTTGCTCGCTTCGCGTTATGGGTTGCTGCCTTAGTCAATTACAAGTAGATAAACTAATATTAACCATTTCACTCCTAGGCTAACTGTAAGATAAGGTAAGATTCAGGGTTTGAGCCAGGCCGCGCCATTGCGCCAATCCCGCACTGCAATTGGAATTGTCCCTTTAAAAAACGGCCAAGGGGACAATTTGTCCCCTTCAAAATTTAGGGAAAAAACTCGAAAGGAAGCACACACGAAGAGATTTATTTCAGTACAGGAATTGCAAGCTGAAACAGAACGTGGAAAGTATATTTTATCGCACCTTTAAAGTTCATTCCAAAGTTACGTTTCAGTCACGCTCTACTGCTATTTTTGTCAGAAATCTAAGACAGGGCTTCTGATTCTTCGCGCGGTCGCGGAGCCGCGAAATTCACAAAAACACGAAAAATACTGCGAAATTCGGTAGAAATCTTATCAAATATATGTCTGTACAACATATTTGAAACTTATTTCAGCTATAGGGGTTATTTATTTGCCGTAAACTTGCAAATTTATCTTGGAACTTTGTCACTGAAACTTGCAAACAGATTATGTTGCGAAAAACTGGGCACTAGCCATGACGTTTAAGGCTTTGCCATGCTTTGCCATTGGTTCATTTCTGGAGCGTATTGTTGTTTGACCTCTGCTAGAAAAACGTTAAAAAGGCTGGTCTGATCAGCGCAAAACCGATCGATTTCTAGCGAAATTTGCCTTGAAAATAACCACAAAATCGGCCGTTTTTTACCGATTGCTTTTCGGTGAAGTTTGCCCCGAAAACTCCCACGAAATCGGCCCATTTTTCCGCGAATTTGTCCCTAAAAATCCCGCGAAATTTGACTTTTTCTTCCGAGACCTATCAGAAGCCCTGCTAAGAAGACAAACCCCTTTGCATCAGCAGAAGGGTGTACAAATTTCTGTCCCCCTAAAAATAAAAATGTCCCCCAAAATTTTAGCCAAAGGAACAAATTGTCCCCCAGTGATCAAATCCTAGCTCAAACCCTGAAGATTATCTGTCATTCGAACAAACTGTTAATTCTGTGGATAAAATCTTATGCTGTTACGATTCAAATTAATTCCCCTCTTTTGCATGGTACTAGATTTTTTTTAGAATTCTACAAAAAGAAATTTGACTTGTTTTGTGATCTTCTTACTTTGGTCGCCATTAGGAATGAAATGGCTCATAACTAGCCTCTATGCAACATGAACCATATTGAAACTTTGGAAGCTCTAGAAGACTGTTCAGGGTTGCCGGGAAGCTCTCAGAACAGCATACAGGATCAGGTGTTGAATTTTACATGAATGAAGGTGTAAATTTATTTTCCCATCAAAGACTTTGCACTCACACTCTACCACTGTTTTGCAAAAGAGGCAATATAGAGCTACTCAGTAATGGTCTACTACACGCATACAAGCTTACAGACAAAAGACCTCGGTACAAGCATGAGATTTATGTGTTCTATGGCTTTTTTCATTTAAGTATAATACATGCAAAGGAATGATAGATTTCACTTACACTATCCTGATTTTCAGGAGATTCACCTTGTTTCTTAGGACCAGGAGCTAAAACAAAAACAACAAAAACAAAACTCCCTTACATTGCCTCTTCAAGATAATTCCTGGAAAATTTCCATAATCTTAGCGAAAAAGGGTACTCATTTAAGGGTCACTAATTTGAAGAGAAGGGTTTATTTTTTCAGTGAATTAAGGCTAGAAAAGATACCCGTGAAAATAACCAACATGATTAACCTGGTCTATTAATTCCAATTGGTGTTTCTAAGAAAAGGTCTATTATGCATAATTATTTAATTATTATTATTATTATTATTATTATTATTGTTATCATCATCATCATCATCATCATTATGCATACATGCATGTTTTGTTTATAAGTGTTTTTACAGTGCTGAATATGCTGTAGCAATAAAAATTGTTTATAAGTTTATCAAAGTGTATCTGAGCCTGCCAAAAAAGCAAACTTACCTTTCTTAGGAACCCGAGCTCTGAGAGAGAGAGAAAAAACAAATATAAAATTTCAGAGTGATATCTCCAGAAAAACATGACCAACAGGTAATAACAATGAAGCACTAAGGGTTTCTTAAAACATAAAAAAAATGTACTTGTATATAATCAAACAACTTACGGAACACTGGTGTACTTTCCATGGACAGTCTTACTTTCTCTTAGAAGAATTCTAAAGAGGAATTCAAGCAAAAATAATTTAAATTTCACCCTTCGCTCTGACATGAGGCATTAATAATCAAAACTACTGGGCTTTTTTCCATCGTCATGGATGTTCAAAGCTGGGTTAAGAAAGCCAAGGGTAAGTGCAAAATTTGAGTTCAGATTTGAAAGCTTAAAAAGAAAATCCAGTAGACCTTTGTCACAAGGCAGCCATTTTGTCTCAGGAGACTTAAAAAACTTTGTTTATGCACCTGCCGCAAGACAAAGGTCTATCACATTTTGATGATTAGATGCTCTTACTTCTGAACAAAAGAAAAGAAACCTGGATTGGAATAAATAAATAAATTTACAGCTTTAAAAAGAAAATTCGTAAGGTAGATCTTGAACAAGTAATCACAGAGGGCTGTAAAAACTGCTTTCTATGTTGTACATAAATGACATTTTCTAGACAAAAAAATATGTTTTATTGATATTTTTTTTTAGGACATATTTTTAAAATCAATAAATATTTATTATATAAACTGCAGTGTTTTACAAGGATTTCTATTTTATATGATAAAAATACGATATTTTTACATGTGAAGATTTTATTCAATATTTTTTTTAGGATGTATATTTTTGTAAAATTTTATTCTTTATAAATATTTATTTATATTAATTAGTTAGAGCTGATAGTATTTTAATTTAGTGTCCCCTGTTAGTAGGCCTTACATGGCCAGCTAGAAGACCTGACACTGAAATAAAGTTTATCATCATTATCATCATAAATAAACAAAATGATGATTTAGAGGTAGTATAATATCCACTATAAAGTGGAATTTAAAAATGTTGGTTTTGTGAGGAAAGGGGAAAAGCGGAGACCCAGAGAGAAACGTACAAGAAAAGAAAACCAACAACCAACATCGTCCTCAGTGCATCAAACCCAGGATTTGAACACAGGCCACTTGGGTTGGAGGCGAGTGCTCACCACTCTTCCACCCAGGCTAGCACTAATCAGCTTTCGAACAACTGGGCCCTGGATGATACGATAGATGCCTTGTACACCTATAAGCAGTTTGTATTGTTAAAATGGTTATGATTAAAAAGTAAAACAATTCTCACCTGCTTGTCATCCAGCCTTTTGGCCATAAAGGTCTTACTTCATTTTCAAAGAAGGCCTAAAAAGAAAATGAAAAATTAAAGAAATCAGATGAAAGTATACCTGAACTAAAATGAAAATACTGGTAATTACCGGGCGAGATTATAAAAATGCAACATGGCTTCTCTCAATCCCTCCGCGACAAGAGAACTAACTTTACCATAAAATTAATGATCTAGACAAACAGAAATAGACTGAGTGCTACTGTTTTTTATAAGGCCAGTAATGACTTATTAAAACTCCTACTTGGCTCTGGGGCTGAGAAAACAAAAGAAATTTAAGTTTTTAACTTATTCATCCCTGAATCTCAAAGCCATTTCTTTTGTTTACTCCCCCTCAGTCTCTGATCCAAGTATGAATATTAATAAGTCAAAACTGCAGGTCTATTGCAATCACCTTACACTTAAAATTTTCACATCTAACAAGACAGAGCCAACACCACGTCAGGGCCTGGTTCCCCAAAAGATGGTTAAGTTTAACCCAGGATTAAGCCAAATTTCAAGCAAGGTTTTCTTGTCTAAGAACATGTCACTCTATACTAGCTTACAAAATACAGTTACATGTGTCTTTACTTCGAGATTCAGTGATGAAAACATAGAATTTCAGCCTAAGCAATGCATAGGAAAGTAAATACAAAAGGTAGAACAAAATATTTAATCATGGATTAGCCCTTATCGGCCTCTCAGGAACCAGGGCCAGCAGAGCTAATTTAAGCCTATTAAGTACATGTATTGTTGTTTACGTTCCGTTTTGTCAGTTTTTTCCGTCCTTCCTTTTTTTCCCTCATTTTTCTATTGCCCACAATAAATAAGAGATTTATATCTTATTTTTGTTTGCCATACCTTGTTTGGTGATATTGGCCGTGTCTTTCATGAGTTTTTAATTTTTATATTTTATTTGTTTAATCATATTTACTTTTGGACAATGACTTTTTCCTGGTCCATCAACAAACAACAAAAGAACTTTATATAAATTTAACGGCATTGACCAAATGCTTGTTAAATAATGCAGATCACTATTTTTTTTTTAAATTATTCATCAAAAGCTACATAGGTCATCACCTTTAAGTACTCTTCAGCAGACTGGGCTCTTGTTTTAGACATTTGAAAGATCTTCATCTTCATTTGGACAACATCACACAACAGTCCTCTACAAAGAATTCAAACAAATATCCATTTGCCTATTAATTGGAACAGTATTTTACATAAGCAAAATGTTCAACTCCCAAAGGACTGGTTTAGGCATGCCGACATGGCCGCCATTTGACTTGGGTTTTGGGACACCAATATGGCAGACATGATGTCATGTGAGAGCACCCATTATCATATCCATACAGTCTACTCTTTCTAAGTTGGACACCTTTGGGGCAGGTACTAAGTGTCCGTCTAAGAGAGATCTCCATCTTATAGAGAGTCAAAGAAAGGGAGTAAAGAAAGACAGGGACCAACTCTAGGTATCCGTTTTACAGAGGTGTCCATCTTATAGAGGTGTCTGTTAAGAGAGAGTTGACTGTATTCATTTTAAGGGAGGCAAGGTTGATAACCATAATAACTTAGAAAACAATATAATAACCTGTTTAAAGACATGATTGTACAGTTTATCAAAAGCGTTATAATCAGTAACAAAAGTAATGCGGAGCACTGATTTTTTTTTACTGTAAGTGTAGAAATTCATGTAGACTCATTGGACAGAAGCTTTGATGAAAAAAGAAAATCGAATAATGATTCTTTGACCACCATTTTCTGCTTGACTTTTTATCATCAAAATTGCCATCAGAATATTCGGAACCGAACTACAAACCTTGTGTGGCATTGATGATTCCGACATTGAAGTCTTGAACAATAACAATTATTACAAATATTTGGCATCATTTCTCAGATGTCAATTGTAGACAATTGAAACTAATGTGTTGGATATGTCAGACAGACTTAGGGTGCAAAGGAAGTAAGTTTTACAGCCTGCCATTCGTGCAAGCTGTAGCTAGCATGTACTAGCCCACAAGTCATTTCAACTAGCCCCAAAACCCTATTTGACTAGCAGGATTGATTTACAATCCTTCTGTATTTGAATTTCCCCAAAAAGCACTTAACCATCAGGCAAGTTAAGAACAGATTTCACTAGCCTGATAACAAAATCCACTAGCCCGGGCTATTGACATGACTTTCTTTGCACAATGCAGACTGTAGGTTTAACTGCACAGAACACTCCTATGATATAAATAATCAACAATACATGAACCTTAATTCCTCTGTCCAAATAAATTTTCTCTTGGGAGTATTTTTCTTGGCTTTATCTTCTGGGTGAGAAGGGGCCTGAAATAAAAATTTGTTTCAAAAATAGATTATTTTATTAACAATTTAAAATGAGATTGGCTGCAGCCACAGTAACTGAGTTAATCAGGTTATGTTCTATTTACTTGGTTAAAAATTATTTTCTTAAACTTATGTACTGTACAAAGTATTATTTTTTTGGTATTATGTAATAGCTGCATGCATAGTGGAGCCCTGATCATATTAAAATGTGGGTAGAGATGATCCCTCTGATCAATGGATTGATCAGATTAAACTGCCTTTAACTACCCAGCGAAGAGGTTTGAAATGCAACCCAGTTAAAAAAATTACTGTTTAGTCTTTAACACCCAAAATACTGACATACAGACACATCTACAATAAATTAAAATTTTTGTTATTACACTGGTTAACTTCAGTGAATTGGAAATAACCTGGAAGCCCGCTAGTGTGGCTATAGACAAGTTTTGTAAGACAACTAGCAAATAGGCAAACAGGCTTACATTAGGATCTGTTGGTGTGGTAATCTCATCACTTTTCTCACTGTCTTCAACTACTTCCATGGCTGACTTGAACAGTTCCTTCTACAAGGGGAAAATATAAGAAATTAACTATAGCAACATACAGTAGAACCTCGATAACTCGACCTTGGATAACTCTAATTCCCCGCTGACTTAAACTAAATTCCTTTCCCTTGATCAAAATTTCACTGAACTCAAATTACCTGCTAACTGGAACTGTTTTTTGTTTCCCTTCAGAGTTCAAGTTAAAGGGGTTCTACTGTAAATTTAACAAAGCTCTATCTAATGAACCATTAGGAAGTCATTACAGCGTACACAAGGAAACTCTAACTTGTGCATCTTCAGAACTCAGAAGCAAAAAAAAATTCTTACCCACTGTCACACTAAAATATAGGTAATAATTTTACAACCCAATTTCTTAACAAGCTCACTCCCATATTTTTTCTTTAAATTCCACCTTTTTCAATAACAGATATTTTCAAGTATTCCATTGTCATAAGGAACAACTACTGACTTGAGAACAAGCAAATCACACTTGGCATGAAAAATTAAATTCCGGAAGGATGGTTGCTTAGTTATACATGACATTAAATTAATATTTTACTTCTACCTTATGGTCATCTGGATTTTCCCCATCTTGTTTTTGGCCACTGAAAATATAAAGCAATTATAAGAAAATTCTTGATGTTCATTCATAATACCTTGTTATATAAAATTTTGGCGACACTTTAATTTAGCGAATTTGGCGATTTTTTTCTCAAAATAGCTAAATTAAAATGCACCAAAATTAAGTGTTACTAAATTTAAAATGTTGTTAAATTAAAGTGAGTACAAAATGAAATTCCACCATCTGGTCAGTTCACACACATATGTTATTTGACGGTAGATGATGACGTGGTACTCGTAATGGAAGCATTGATTGTGGGACAGCATTGATGAGTGAGGACATATGACAATACAGCTGCAGTTTTGTTTGTTTAAATTAAAGTCCAGCTAAAAAAGGAATCTTCAAAATCGCTATTAAATTTAAGTGTTGACAAAAATTTTCATGTAATAAGGTACACATAATGTACTTTGTAACATTCATTATAATTATTTTCTTACTTTTATCTTGCACATGGAAATAGTACTTTGTACATGCATACCACCACAAAGTAAGTTAACCATCTAAACTCAGAAGTAACCATTTCAACAAAAAAAAAAATAAAATTTTACCCTTGCTTTTTGCTTTCTTCTTCTACATGCTGCCTGACCTCTTCCTCAAATCTCTTAATTTGCTCAGGAATAACTCGATCCACAGCTAAACATGACACAAGAACAAAACATTATTAAACCCCTTGCCACCTCATACAGAAGAGATTTCACAACATCAACAGTTTCATCTAAATAATATCACAGGGATCCCAGCCAGTTGAGTCTGACACCGTTTTTTTTTTAAGAAAGAGCCTGCAAGTAGTTGAACAATGAGTGAAGTTCGTAAAGCACCAGTTTGCAGTCCCCTGTTTTTCTGTAAGATCAGTGGGATATATGGAGTGCTTTGTTCTACGGGTGGCCATCTTGGTTGCAAATGTTCCGAGTCTAAAGCAATATGGCTGCCTAAACAGATAAGACCAGGTAAGTGCGTGATCACAACGATCTTACGAAACAAAAAATAGGGGAGTGTGAACAGTCTACTAATAGTTAGTAGTACTCAATAAATCAAAACGAAAGCCTGATGAAAATCAGCAGCACGCCGTTAAAAATAATGTCATGATTGTAGTATATAGAATTCTCACGAGACAAAATTAATCATAAACTAGTTAATATTCTTGGCTTTGGAAAAGTCAGCTTTAATAGAGACGTGACTTACCTGCTTTGAGTTTGGCCATTGGCTCTCTTAATCTGCCAGCCTACAAAACATTATCATTATTAGGTATGAAAGAGTGGAAGAAAATATGTAGAGAAAGTTAATACTACAGTGTAAATAGAACCAGCTCACTAGCAGGATTTTCAAGTAGTTCGATTTCTTGACTGGCATGTTACAAATTAAAATAAGAGAATTTAAATAACTTTCAACTAAAGCAGCTTATGGGAGAAAGGGATGCAATAATTCTGGCTCTTCAACTCACTTGATCATTTAAGAGAAGATTCTTTGCTCTTTTTAACAAAGTCTCCTTTGTGCAAGGCAGGTAAAATGCCAAAAATTCATAGATTCCCTGAAAAAGTAAGGAAATAAAAAATGTATATTACATTACATATAATTTGGAAATTGCATGAAACAATTACAACTGAAACGGGAATAGTTGACATAATAATAAACATCATTATTGGATGAGGTTTTCGTGATACCTGGAATAAACAAGGTCAAGGTAAGTGAAGGCCAAGAATGATGATACTTACCGAGACCTCGATTATTTGGAATATCACTAAAACCAAACCTAATAATTGTTTTATTATACATTGTTTTCAAGAAAATAATGACAAACACACCGTTGCAAGGAACCTGAATTGATATTGTCATAGGAAATCATGCATTATATTCACAACCAACAGCTTATTTAGTTGCCTGTTAGCAGATAACCAACTAATCTGTAGGTTGTGCTGATTTCCAAAATTAGCTGTAGGCTCGCGCCAATGAGAAGACAGATACTGAGTACAATCTATAATAATATTAATAAAAATAATTATAGAACTCACTGATCGCACTTTGCTACTGAGAGCTCTTGACTTTGTTTCAAGCCTAAAAGAGAGTCAAAGTTCAAGTAAAGTTCAAGTCTCCATTTTTATTCAACTAAAACTGGTGATTATGTTTACACGACCCCACAAGCATTGAGCTTTAAAGTCTATCCTGTTTCAATAAAGGATATGATGATGATAACCAAAACCACACTATTAAAAAAGATTGTGAAAAGCATACACTTTTTCAAGGATTCCTCTAAATCAGTTAAAGTTCAGCAGTACAAGTACAGTTGTGTACGGTGAAGTAAAAAATAATGGTAATGTCAAGATGAAAGCATAATAATGTGGTGCTGTCCTTGCTTCACCAGCAGAACAGGCAAAGATGGTCAAAATCCAGTAAAAAAAATAATTAAACATGGCTCATTGTCAGTAAGGCTGTAGTTGCTTAATACGTAGTAATAACTGCTTTCACAGTAGAAAAAAATGCAAAAGGAGGATTAGGGGCTATTCAAATGATAATGAGATGAATTTTATTCAGGAACAAGTTTATTCTATCTCCATAAATCTCTCTGATCTATTTGCATGACACGTGTACCAAGATGGAAATTTGTTCCCGTACAAGCTGCTAATGACATTATTTTGGTTTTCAGTCTGAACGAAATTCTCATTCTAGTATGACATGTCATTCTAGTGTCATGTTTCTAAACTGAACATTGAAAACCATGTGGTCTAATGTGAGTGACACATGCATAACATTTTCAAGATGGAAGACAAAGATGGTGCAGATGAGGGAATTATTGCATCAGTACAAATTCATCCTGGAATGTATGCCATTCTAAAACTAAAGTCATTCTGGTACAACACATGAGTACCTGCAACACCTTCTAATTATTACAAACACCAATTAATTAATCTAAAAAAAGGAACTCACTCCAGTAACATATGATTTACATCAGAGTTAAAGAACTTGCACTTTCCCTCAGTGATGCCATCAGTACCCGCTTGCTTCAACCTCATGATGCAAGCTTCTACATCAGTGGGTAAACACTGGGGAAGGCTAGGTTCAGCTATCTCTGAAGAGCTTGCCTCTCCCGTTGAGATTCCATTTTGAAGTGTTGAACTAAGCAAAGAGTCATTCTTTGTCACAGAGGCATTTTCTTCAGTTGTAACAGCACTGCCACTGCCATTTACCATGCCAGGCTCTGTTTTAACAATGCCTTGATTACTTTGCTGCGATGAATTCTGTACTTTTTGTGGAGAAGAACTGTTCACTATAACATTGTTTGTCCCTTGTGATCCTCCAGTAGTTAACACCATGTTTGAAGAGACTGTCGCAGAGGTGGTTTTTGCTGAGGAGGATGGTGAAGACAGCATGTTTACGATGTTTGCATTTCCTAAACTTAGCCTCTTCTTGTGCTTTTTCTCCTTTTTTTCCTTTTCCTTTTCACTGCTAAAAGTTAAAAGCAAAAGTTTACATTTGTACTGCATGTTAATGCAGGTACTTTTCACATCTGTCCTTTTTTGGTGGTTTTATGTCACTTTGGTAACAAACTGAAGCATTGGGAAGTGTTTAAAAACCTCCATTGTGGAAACCTTAAGAAAAATTAAGAATCTGCATGTACTTCCCAGGACATACCGGGACAGGGCTCAAAAAAAGACCTGTTCAGCCATCTGGGACAAAAAATACAGAAACACACAAAACGGATCGAAATCCACCAATCACAAGTCACAAATCATGACCTTTTGAACCAGTTGAAGGAAACTTCTGTTTCCTAAGAGGTTCACTAAGATGATTGAAGGCAGCAAAAAACCCAAACCTCAGTTGGCTTATGAACTTCAGAATTCGCATGTTTATGAAAAGGGTAGTAAGAAATATTTTTGTTGGTGTTCCAATCTAAATAACGATGACATAATTTCTGCCTATGCCAGGTCTGAAAACTGGTCTGGATTCTAGAGGCCAGGTCTGAAAACGGGTGTGAAAAATGACATTTTTGGTCTGAAATAGGATCGAGATTTGGAGAACTGGGCAGCACACCACCAACAAGAATTCCTAGGAGTACCCCCCGGGCTTTGTGCCCTCCTAGTTTCTAAATACTTGCTATGGCCCTGTTAGGACAAGCTGAAATTCAAATTCTTTTTAAGCCCCACAAATCTCTCAAGGGAAAATTAGTTATACATGTGCAAATTGATGGCTTATTCTTAAAACTGACAAGTACTTACCTGGAGCTTTTTCTTGGCTTTTTCTCCTTGTCTCCTGATTTTTTTCTCTCTTTCTTTTCACCGGGTACCTTAACTTTCTTTACCTTGGGCACCTTTGGCATTTTCTAAGCAAAAGAATTGTTTTGAAAAGCATAAATCTTTCTTGCTTTAGAGAAGAAGGAAGAGGCACAAGTGAGGAAGGGCCCTAAAGCAGAAAATTAAGGGTAAAGAGAAGTTTCCTCCTCCTTTAACTTGCCTTAAAACATACATTTAAAGGTATGGGTGAAGTTACAATATAGTTTTCTTCTTTGAAATAATATATAGACTTTATGATTTTGTCAGTTCGAAATAAAAATGTCTTAGATTGTACAACTGTACCTGTCAAAACTACTTTTATTCCAAATTTATACCCTGTAGTCTCGAATTTGGAGTGGAAAAAAATCATACACAACACTCAGACTTTCTGAGGTTCTGACTGTACAGACCAAATATAGTTTCTGGATAATTTGAACTGTAATAAAGGTTCACAAAAAGGAACTCATGAAATTCTTATACACATGGCTATGAAAGTTCCATACATACATGTACATGTAGGTTTTTGCATTTTCAGGGCTTAGAAGAGATCAAGATGTTTCAACTACAAACTAAGAAAGTCTACATGTACATCAGGCGATGAGTTGACGAGTTACACGTCAATTTAAAAAGCACAAATATATCATTTTCTGCTGTGAACGTTTGGTTTTCCACAGCTGTGATTAGCATGCTTTCATCCTTGCTACTTCAGCCAGCTGTTTTCTTGGCAGTCCAGTCTTGTTCAGCTCTTATCAGCACCCATGTTGTGGGATCTTTACTCCACTATCCCAGTTGCAAAAAGACCAACCATTCACTCCAGAGAATTTTGTGTTCTATAAAGTGGCATGTAACTAACTAACCTTATTGCCTGATGAAGACTAGCAGTATGCTATCAAAAGGTCACAGTCCGCATCACAAGCAACTACATTGTACATGTACAAACAGTAGCTGAGCCAAACGCCAAAACTTCAATAAACGTAATTAATATTTTACTTCAGCATGGCGAATAATGATAAGATTTCCTACAACATCTACAGTACATGTATTTACCATACGCCTAGTCTTATTTCCTTTCTAAATGTACCTTTGGGGACTTGAGTTTCAGTTTCTTTGGTTTCTGAAAGTCTCCCTCGTCCTGTTCGCTGATACACAAAAGATTTGAAGGTGACAATAAGCCACATTGTACAAGGAGGAATTTTAAACAGAAATGCTTATATCTGAGAAGGCTTATAACCAGAATAGAAAACGAAGTTCAAAAAAAGCTAACAGTGCTAATCAAAATGGTATAATAAATCAAATTCAGTTCAATGCAAGTCAGGTCTAGTCAAGGGGGGGGGGGGTCTTAAAATATTTCTCTGTTTCTGATTGGCCAAAATCCCACGCACAATTCATCATAACCAGCTACTGTAGAAAAATTTTGCGATATGTGAACTGATGGCATCAGTCATGCAGCAAAATTACCAGATTATTGAATGGTTAACCGAGAAGGCCTTGGGACAAGGTTGAGTTGTTTTTGGTGGTGAGTACAAAATGGCGGAACGTTTCACTTGTTTCATGGGGAACAAGTAGGCAAACTATTCACTAAAAATATAGCAAGAACAACAAGAAGACAACCCTGCTATTTGGAGAATATTTGCAGAACTGAACAACTCTTTATCTCCTAAACTATTGAAGATGAATTGATAGGGTAAGCATGTTTAGCTTGTTTTTAAACTACAAATTATTTTGAATGAATAACATATACAATAATATTATCGAATTCAGCTTTCGTATCATCTGAAGAATTATGGAGATCTTGAAGGGTGTTATCCGCCAAGGCCGCACCCTCCTCAATCTCTATAATTCTTCAGAAGATACTCAGCCTCACTCATTAATTGCTAATTATATGGTACAACCAAACACAGAACCACAGCTACATAAATGACAAGCCAAAAAAAATTAAAACAGAACCCAAGGTTGTGCCCTATCAAAAATAAAGAGAGCCCAGTGCTCCGAGCCTGTGCAATCCATGGTGCCCTGCATAGGTTTAAAACGCTAACATTTCCTAGTCACCCCACAGCAACACATAAGGAGCCGGGGGCCACCAGGTACATGTACTGCTAGAATGAAGCCCTTGAACCCAAGAACTTCATCAAAATACACATACTATTTATTATGCAAGCATAACATTTTACCTCTCACCACCTGGAGATACTGGTCGGAAGTTAAGTGCACCTTGGTTGATGTAAAATCCACCATGTTCTGTAGTCCAGTCTGCAGGTAACAGCTCATCATACTAGAACAATAAATTGAAAAAGTTTCTTAATCATTCATTCCAGGATTGGAGCCGATTTCTGATGCCAGAGGTTTAAATTCCACGCAAGCACCTCACAAGCCAAAATCTATTACAGAAATTTTCAATTTCATTTTGAAAAACAATAATACATGTACAAATGCATTGACTTGAATGGCCATGCCATAGGACTCTGCTCAAGGAAACTTAGAGTTGAAACTACAGTACATGAATGTCAATTGACAAATCTATAAGGATTAATATTATCTTATCTCTATTTTAAATAAAAAGTGTGACTTGCAATATTGCCTAAAACATCATCTTCGTTGGTTGTACGCAATTGATTGAAATAAAAATAATATCAATTTAAAAGACCAAAATCTACTACCCCAAAAATATTATCTCTAAAATACATGTAAAGAGGAACTCACAGCTTCACTGTCATCAACAAATGGATCTGTTTCATCATAGCCATATGTTACATCAATCAAATCCTAGAAAGGCAACAGTAAAAAGTTGTAGAGCAACTACTTGATGTCATTCCAAGCACAAAAAACAACAAATCTGGCAATTGTTTCTAATTTGCTAAACTACTGGTTTCATTGCAAGGATTTGATTGATTTGAGATTCTGGTGGGAAACATTTTCATTGTTAGATGTCATGTGACCTTAAAGTAACCAATGAGAGCCTGCGCTGTTGGGAAAAAATTTCCAGCTGTATAACTATCACATAGGGTGTGTTTGATTGTTCATAAAATATTCTGGAATAAGAATATATAAAAGGTTTGTTGCAAACCTCTTGTAATGTGACTTTTGGACCACTTAAGAGCTACATACATCAGGATATTTTATTTCAAGCATATTTCTAGATATTGCAATGCCAATGAATGCCAAAATAAGTGATTCCTAGGGTCAAACACACCCTTAACAATCAAAGGGTAGGGTTTTATGAACAGGGAAAATGTAATCTGACAAAGACAGAATTGGCTGAAGCCATTGTGCACCAAAGTATTACAAAAATCCAACATGCTCTAAGAACAATAATAATTCTCCGAGAATCAACTTATTAAGAAGAATTCAATACCAACTTCAACAATAAAGATTGAAAAAAATGATATCAGAAGTACAATGTCTGTTTAATTTACTATTTACATGATGAAAAATGTCATGAGTATATAGACCTTATATCTAGACATAAAGGCAAATAAAACTAAAACAAACATACCAGAAAAAAGTGGATTAAATTAGATAGGTGAAAAAACACAATAATATTATATAAGACCAAATACATTATTATAAAAATTATTACTCATAACTGGAAAATACCAATACATCAATAAGTGGAATGCTAACAAGATTAACATATGCCTCACGGAGTGACCTCTGAATTCCACTGGGTCTATACTTGCTTTTGAAGTAGTTAACCAATTAGGAGTATATTATGGACAACCTCTCTCGTAAATATCGTAACAACATTTTTGCCTAAAGTATTTAAAGGAAATGCATTGGAAGAAGCTTACGAATGTAAAAGTCAGTGTAGTTACTGTATCATATCCAGAACAAACTGGAGTTTGGAAATATTGATTACCACAAGATGCAGAGTCAACACCAGCTACAAAGGTCTTAACTTTCAACCACGTTGATGCAGGGTTTTATCCCTCAATAGAGGTTTGTAGCAAGGGCTAGAAAATTTATCGCCTTTGACTGATCCACTAAAGGGTTTAGAAATTTTCCCTCAAAATAATAAATCGTTTTTTATATGCAGGAAGAAATTTTTCCACTGCAAGCAGCAGCTTATCCTTTCAAACTACAAGGAAATCTTGGAAAGCTTTTAAACGGATTGCTAAAACTTTGCAGTGTTATCAATAATGCGTTATTTTGTGAAACTGGGCTCATTTTAAAAACCGAAATTTCTATTTCCCCTCTCCAGTTTCAGTGAAAGTTAAAACTACCCTAGCTTATTTTTTTTACAACGTTCTGCCACCGAAATGCCAAAAGAATTGCAGAAGAAATTTTGAAAGTTTCATATAAGACGACAAATAATACGCAGATATATAGATATTTAGCCCTTTTCAATTTTAAACTGCAATTTATTCAATCTGTTTTTAAGTGTGTTACCGGAAACTAGAAATACGGACTCTTCTTCGTATTTCCTGTATTAAAGAAATCAGCGTGAACTGAGAGAAATAAAACGGAGGGAGCCAAAACCTTACAGAATGGAAGAGAAAAGAAATTTTGCATCACGCTTATCGTAATTTTGAGTTATAAACAAGATCTGTTCTTTTCCTGGGTCCACGTTTATAGTTGTAAATAACGCAAGAAATCGACATTTTCGTGAGATGTAAATATAGCAAAGTGTCATTGAATATTGTGGCACCGAAACTAGAAGAGACAATACACAAAACCATGGATTTGGAGTTTTAAATACTTAGAAAACAATAGCACAAAGTCAAAAACGACTTACGAATCCCTGAAAAGGCAGCGAGTGTTAACAACAGGGTCATGTCATAAAGGACAATGAATTAGTAACATAAGGAAGGCACTACACTAAACAAGTGCTCGCATAATTCTACACACACGGCTTCAATACACCCCCGTACAGCACCGGTATTCTTTCAAAAAAGCTAAATAACTTCTACTCTAAAAGCAATTAGTATGGTTATAATCCATGTCAAAACACAATTTCGTAAGATCAGTATTTGTAAGAACGTGTCCTTGATCGACGCAGAGAAGCCAATTTAAGCTTATTGATGTTTGCAAACTAAATTTAAAACCGGGGAATAAACTTCACAGACGTAGTATTTTGGTTTACCTCCATGCGATCTCTCCTCCGCTTCTTGGATGTAGGTTTTGGAGCCTGTGAACAAGAAAAACGAATTGTGATCTCAAGTATTCATACTCGGTAAATTTTTGCTCGGCAAAGGGTTCCTAAGGAATCTTAAGCCTCGAACAAAAACACGTATTGACTTTGCATCGGTGTGTACAACTTACGTATTTCTGCTCAAATTTCTTTGCCAAGGCTCTGAGCTTTTCATCATCTCCATCTTCATCGTCCCATGGAGTTTTCTCTGGAGTTTCGCCGGACTGGAGTGTGAGAGAAAAAATTGAGTTCACTCTTCGGGAATCAAAATCACGGCCATTCTAACAGCGGTTAAAAAAATACACACTGGTGTTCTTCGCACACGAAATTGTCTCCGCTTTAGAGAAAAGGACTGTACTGAAAAATGGCTGAAAGATTCGCCTACCTTGCGAGTAGCGGATTTTACGAGGTCCAGAAACGAATACTCGGGGCAGGTTTTGTCGTCGCTGGCAGGTAGTGAGAGCGTAAAACGCAAAGTTGGTACATTTTCTGAGCCTTTCCGAAACGCGTCGCCTATCTCCGAAGGAAATGGGCTAGCTTTTTCCATTTCCCATGAAGAGGAAGCCAAAACCTAGGGCCTTCTGTATGGACCCTTCTTCAAACGCCATGGAGTGGAGCCTCTTCCATCTTAAACTTGCCCGCTTCTCCGTTCCAAAATTTAACACTGGGACTAACTGCGCATGCTCAGTGACCCACTGCGCAGTCGCAGTGCAGATTTATGTCCGAAAAGGCTTCGAAGTTTCTCTCTTAGTGGAAATTTAGCAGAATCCACAACAAATCGAGCAATCTTCCGATTTTCGATCTTTGCCTCAGAATGGGCCTTAAACGTCGTTAGAGGTCCGAAAATGGCCTAAAATCGGTAAAAACGCGAAAAAAATTGTTTAGTGAAATTTTAAAATTTATGGATTCTGCTCCCTCAACCTTCCTAAAATCCTAAAATGTGGTCCTTTTTATGTCCAAAATGGCGAGAAACGCAAAAACGTGGAGCGAATTAGCCCGCTACGCCCCACCCGGTACAGGAGAACGCACATGTTTCCACGGAATCGCTGGCTTAAGTATATTATGCAAAACCCTATTGTTTAGCCCCGATCAATTTTTCAGCGCTACATGTACTTGATACGCGCTTATGCTTGCGTGAAAAAAGCGCTTTTGTTGGCTGATCGCGGTCGAAAATGACAGATGCTATACCAACCGGTAATTCTTATTGGACGCATTCCGGCCCGTGTTTACAGCTCGCAAAGAACAATATTGCGTGAAATACCACTTTTATTTCCGGTTTGTGATGGAGTCCGCTGACAATTTGCAGACTCAGTAATGCTTTTTGGTGCTGGCGAAAAGTGGAAAAGGCGTTATTTGCTCTCTATCCTTATAAAGCCGGGGTTGTTCAACTCCTTATGAGTTTCTGTCTCCATTTAAATAATGCCTATTTCATCCCACAGTCACAGTGGACAATTCTGTAAACATGCTTTTTGTGAACTAGAAGAAATAGTTCTCAGGGCTATCGAAGTTGGTTTTACCCACTATGGACTCTCGGAACACATGCCTCGGTATGAGCCGGAAGATTTGTACGAAGAAGAAATAGAGGTGAGATTTATTATTTCGCTTTCTTAACTGAGTGAAGATTCATTATAATATCCGATAAGCGTACGGCGCTCATCGTTTTCAACAATAAGATTTAGGTTAAGATTATTGCTGCGGAGCGACCGTAGGGAGCGAGCAGCAACATAATCGGGATTTAAGGGAAATATATATGGTAAGACGAATCCTCGAATTCATCACTTTTTACCAGAATTCATTGCATTTAACCATCCTCGCTCGTCGCTGCTCTGGACGTTTCGCGCGTAGGAACGTCTGCGACTCAGTGGTAGAAATTCCATACTGATGACGCAAATCAATGTTTATATAATAAAGCCGGTAGTCAGATCATGAGTTCCAAATATAAATTTGTTCAATTTTATGTGTCTTCTGGTCGATTTTGGTATACCGTTGTGTTCATCTACCAACGAGCTCAAGCAAAACTCAAATACTTCTTCTAGAGAAGACTATATTCCCCAAATTCCACAAATATTGACTGTTTTGGTAGAGATTCCGTGACATGTACATACAGAGTGCATTGCGGTACTTTTTACCAGAATGCATTGCGTCACGAACAACTCAAATTAAAACACGAGGAAATTTGGTGGCTGAGAGCATTCATTGTTCGCTGCCCAGACTCAGAGTTTCTTTGTGTCAAATTTTCTACAGCAGGGTTAGAGGTCTTACCAAATTTAAGACACTAAGGAGTCTTTCAGATGAGTATGATGGTTAACTTTAGGATTAGCCTGCGTGGCAGGCGTTTGAAAGGGAAGGGAAGGGGAGTTTAAGGCTCGAGAGAAACACAAGAGGCATGTGAGGAGGGAGGGAAGGAAACGCCTGCAAGGAAACCATTGTTTTCGCCATCCTGCCTACTAATTATGTATGCAAAAATGACGCAATTGTAAATGACTAGCTGTCAAATAAGTCTGTCAGCGATGCACGTAATTTTAGCTTTTGTTTTTCTAAAACGAGATATCTGAAGTGTAGGTACATTCTATAAAAAAAAAGTTCAAATGCAGCGGTCATCCGTTGGAAGAAGAAAGTTGCAATGATGCGTGTCTTGTTATATAAAATCGAGCATAAATCTATTACGTCGTTTGCTGAAGGAAACATGCTGGATGTTGCAACTTGCATGCAATATCTGTCTGAGAAAAATTTAAAACACTTTGCCAGCTCACGAATTCTTGTAAGTCTCACTGCCTAACCAATGCCAGTATCAACAGAATGTGCCACAGCATTACTATCTTTTAGATACCCCAGTCTCTAAAATAATGAGCTCATCCTCAGTGTATTATCCGTGAAACTCTCAAGTGACGGAAAACAAAGGAAACACAGAAGTCAACACAAGAGAACCTAGGAAAACAAAAGGTGCACAACAAAGAAAAAGTTCACAGGTTGTTACACTGAGGTAAACCCAAATAATAGCTCAATCAATTCCAAGTGTGCCTATCCCCCCTCCGTCCCCATCCATTTGTCAGGCATCTGTTGTCTTATCAGTCCGGGTGGCGAGGTTTGTTCAAAAACCTCTACGCGGAGATTTTACATTTTTCAATTCTTCTTGAAGCGGTTAACAGCTCTCCTTTTTCAATATTTCCCTCTAGAATATGCCTATTTAGATAGCTATATATATTTCTGTAAAAAATATTGTTAATAAATATGTTTAAAATGATACAAGACAGTGGTTTTCACTCCATCACCACCCTATCAAGCTTGCCCTCCACCCCCGTTCCCCATTAGGCATTTTTCAGGTGTTAGCCAGTCAGTTAAGTTCCATGTTCACTGTATGTTCCCACTTTTCCCATGTTGGGCTATTGTCATCAAATGGCCTGCTCGAAGGTGGGAATTTGCCATAGTGGACTTTCATGTATTTCTTCTTGCACTTTTAAAATGGATAAATCTATGGCACGTACATGTTAAGTGAACATTCATGATTACAAGCTAATTAAAGAAAGATGTGTTACCACAAACTTTGAGTTCTAGCAAAATAATTGTCCTCACCCTCCCTGAATACTTGCCTGCAGAAAGTGTAAGAATGGCCACTACTAGAGATTTAAGAGGGAATAGCAAGCCACTGTGGAGAAGAAGTTGAAGTGAAATTGTACTTGTTTGCAAAGATTGACAGTACCCTACAAGCAGTAAAGGAAAATGCAGAAAAACCATCTCAGGGTGTTCATTAGGCATCGGAGATTGGAGAGTTCTCAGTTTATGATGCAGAATTCTCCGGCTAACATTCGGTAACCTATGACTATTTTTTATTCAGAGTTGGAGCCTTTTTAAAAATATTATCCTGTAACATTACACCTTTCTCCTGCTACTAGAATTCTAAATGAAAACCTTGCATCTAAAGTTAACCATAAAAGTCCAATGAAGGTTTTGTTCTACTAATCAAAAACTATCTTGACATTTTGCTTTCTGGGCATGCTGTTGCATTCATTGACTTACTCTCTCAATTATAATGCTAATTTGCAATCTTTAGGCTCTTTCAAGAAAAATTAAGTTTTTCTTTGTTTTAAGGGTCATGGCCATGACCCTACAATGAGGTTCTTATTTGAATCTGCTAGCCTCTTGCTGGGGGTAGAAAATAACACATTCTGTACGTTTAAATGTCAATGTGTTAAGCAAGGAAATAGTGATTAAGGATGCTATCTTTATTTCTCTTATTGGAAATGAGGCTGCCATTTTACCTTGTCATTCAAGACACGTGAAGGTCCGGCCACTTGCAGGGCAAATGCAGTACCTTTATTACTCAGTTGGTCTAACACCCTGAGTATTGGTCTGGCCTCTAAAAATCAAACCCACAACGTTCCACTCTGCAGTCGAGTGCCTGTCCAACTAAGCTCATGAAATCCTGCCCATGGTTAGGTTATGCCCAACTTTCCAAGGAAAAAAGGGCAAATACCTGACAAATGCCTTGTTGGGGGGGGCAAATTGGCCTGTTTGGAATTACAAATTGAAACGGGCAGACATACAGTACTGAAAACTCCGGAAAATCTTCAAATTTGCCCCTTCTGCCACTTAAATGAAGTTGAACATGCATTACACTTTCTATTCAATTGTAATCTTTATGATAGTCTTTGATCTAACTTTAACAGAAACATCATGAAAAAGATACCACCATTTTAATAATTTTGACAACAATGAAAAAACCCTCTTTATGTTTAACAATGTCAATCCTCATATCTACAGACTTACAGCTGCTTAGACAAGTTCATTTATGGAATATAGACAGAAACTTGTTCTTTATTATAGCCTTTATTTTGATGTAAGATTTATAACATAAATAATGTAGGTAACTCCATGTACTCATGTGGGAATACTGAAATAACGTTGTTGACTGAGCCACAAGTTTATTTGCTTGACAGGGGGTACTTGTCAGTTGTGACCATGCTTGAAATTAAGATGGAGATAGTTACCAGGTTGAGGGCTGTAACTAATGGATGGGGCTGGGGATTAATTTCTGGCTAGTACGAGCATGACTATTTTCACAGGAAAAAAAAAGACAAAACTAAGAACTAAAGAAGTTCCTATTTGTTCAATTCCCTGCCTACTAAACTAACGTCAGGGTGGCAAGTTAAGAGGGATACTCGTCACACATCACCAGACTTTTTTAAGGCCTTCATTCATCACAGGGAAAAAATTAGCCATCACGCATAATGTACAGGTAGGTGAGGTGCAATTGCAGAAGGTTAATATGGCAACATCTCAACCCATTGATTAAATCAGCTCTAATGATTAATAAAAAAATTGTTTTAATCGTTTTTGAGTAGTTGATTGAATTGATCTTAATTGTACAAAAGGGTTCTCTGAAATCTGGTGTTGTTCAAATGTTAACCATATTGACCAGTATTGTTTAGAAACAAGAAAAAGGACCAGTAAATGATGTCATGACTATCTGTTTTTAATGTCTGTGCTTCTAGTTTCATATGATATTCACCAATCACAGAAATCCAAAAGGAAATTCAAAATCATGCATCACAGGTTATAAAAATAGTAAATCATGCACCAGCCTGCTATTTCGAATCACGGCTAATTTAAACCCGATCACAGATCACACTGATAATATATTTATAAGATCCACCATACCTTACGGAAAGCCACCCTGAAACATGTACACTGGATAGCAGTGACGTCAGCCCTGTCCTTAGAGACATTTCAGTAAAGTTCATTGCATCTTTGAAGTTAATACATTCCTGTGCCAGTAAAGGACTGATGTGGAGTATTAACAAAATTAAACAACAATCCTAGCACTGCATGCCCCCCCTGATCATGATACGCTTAACAATACATTGTTTATTACTATCCCTCTACATTATTCTTATTACTATGGCTATGTCTGGTATTATATTTTGTTACAAAAATGTAGAGTTTTACATGCAATGAGCAGTAAGAAGTAAGCTGAAACCATTCTAGGCATACAGATCAGAGATGGGTGGGAAGTGGAGGAGGGGGGGCGGGGTTTAGATGGTAGATGGCCTGCGACCTACTGTACTGTGTAGTTTTGTTTGTGACAAAAACATTTTATCTAAAAAAACTTGGCCTGTTGCTTTCTATTAAAAATCAATGTCACTCTATAGTTCTTGTTCATGCCCAATATACACTGTATATCTATGTATCTCACCCCAATTAAAAATTTTAGGAATTCTTCTTTGAACTAAGGGCAATAAATTTTGCCGTGTTTTAATTGATTTTTGCAGTTTCATATAGCTTGTACCAGGCTCTAGCTCACAGAATGAGAGTAGGCATGTCACAAAAACAAGGCAAGTGAAAAGAAGATGCACCTGATTGGCAGAAGTGGGCCTCCACTCTCCAAATTCCCCACCTGTTTTTCGCATCAGTTTTCATGATCTCTGCGCATTACTATCTTGGAGCCTGAAACAGGCTAAGACTTACAGCAATATGTAAAAATCAAGACCCACCCAAAATTTTTTAAACTGCACAGTACCATCTTATTTGCAACCAATGCAAGAGTGCTGTCAATCAGTAAAATTCATGGAGTAATATATTTAAACCTAAAGGGTGCTTTCCATTTGTCAGAACAGAATTGGCAAAACCTGTCAGGTCACCAGGAGAATTCCCCTATTAACCTTTTAAGTCCCAGTAGTGATCAACATCAATTTTCTCCTGACAATATCCATATGTTGCCAAGAGAAATTGTTATGAGAGTTCATAAAATGATCACTAAAGAGAAAACGCCTTGATCTGTTAACAAACTCTCTCAACTAATTCTTTAACAGTATGGAGAATTTATATGTGGATATTGGGGCTTAAAGGGGTTAATCAGGACTATCCAGCCAGATCAGTTTATTTCTAAATGGTGTGTGCAAGGCAGTGATGGGTTTAATAAAAATTTGTGAGAAGACTAATATTCTGAAATACATCATTGTACAGTTGAACCCCACTTTATGGACACCTGCTTAATACAGATACATACTTTTTATGGACAGTTTGCTTTGTCCATGGGAAAAGAAAGCCCTTGCAAATTTTTCTATCTTCAACCCACTGAATATGGACACCCAGTTAATACGGACACTTTCTATGACCCCCTTAGTGTCCTTGTTAATGGGATGTGAGTGTCTTTCTTTTGTGACCAGTCTGGCTGGCCAGTTCTGACTTTTCAAAAGTGCTCTAAAACAACTGAAAATGAAATCACACTATGATTCATTTTACTTTTTTAGGAAAATATGGAACCTTCTGAACTCTGTTGCATTTTTGAGGATTTTGTCAAGGAAGCAAGGCGTCTTCAGGACAAGTATAAGGACAAAATTTCTCTCATTGTTGGCTTCGAAACAGATGTTATTAGAAAAGACTGTTTTGAGAGGATAAAGACGCTGAAAAAAGATCTGGAACTAGATTACATTGTAGGATCCATTCATCATGTTGATGGAATTCCAACAGACATCAGCCTAGAACTTTATGAAAAAGCAGAAAAATTAGCTGGAGGAACAGAGCTGCTTATGTGTCAATATTATGATCAACAATATCAGCTATTGCTAGAAGTTAAGCCTGAGGTCATTGGCCATTTTGACCTCATTAGGTTGTACAGACCTGATTTTGAATTTACAGATATTATTTGGAGGAAGATTGTCAGAAATGTCGACTTTGGCATATCTTATGGAGCATTGTTTGAGATAAACACAAGTGGCGCTTCCCCATCAAAGAAACTGAAAAACCCACACCCACATAAAAGAGTTCTAGAGGTAAGTGAAATATGGTTATGTCCATTGAGGGATATTAGGGAGTTTTAGCAGCCACTAAGGTGACAGCAATAGGCTTAGGGCCTGTTTATATGAGTTGAGCCAGCCTGGCCTGCTTTACCAGCCTGGCTGGGCTTATGCCTTGTTTTCACGTTAAATTTTTGTTGTGTTTATATGAGAAGGTGGGCTATCCTGACTTACCAAGAGATCTCAGCATTACAGCCAGCCCGCCTCCCCACATAAACGCAAAATGGGGCATGAGCCTAGCCAGCCCATTACAAGCGGGCCATGTTGGCTAAAACAGACCCCTAATAAGCAAAACAAGAACTCTGCACGTACAGCACACTTATTGGTACATTTCTTTGTCATCATTACATCACTATGACGTGAACAGTTTTCCTTGTGCTGTGTCTAAAAGAAGGAATGACATAAAATGATCTAAATGTTACCTAAAATGGCTCAAATTGAGCTACAACTGCCAATATCTAAAATACACTTAGATTTCTCAAATCACTTAAAATTGTCTAAAGGCAAAATGGTGAAAATGGCGTCACTGACTTTGCATGTGCTTTGGAAACATTTAGAATATTTAAAAGTGGGGACTTGACTGCAAAACAGTTGGTAGAGTCTCACATGTAAGAGTCTCTCCCCAGTCTCGCTCTCTGTTTTCAGCCTCGCTCCAGACCTTTTGTTTGACTGTTCGCGCGTACTTAAATACGGGCTGTTTTGCAGTCTAAGGGTTGATTTCCAGTGTCACGTAATTTTACATGCGTAAATAAAATAGAAGCAATGTTTGAAAGGCCACGCACAAACGTAAAGGTTGAGCAAGGTTCAACTTCACATATATGCTTGACCTTCCATACATTGCTTTTATTTTTTTCACTTGCGTAAATAAATTAGACGCAGTGTATAAAAAGTCGCACATAAAAGTAAAAGTTGAACCTGGCTCAACTTTAACATTTACGCGCGACACCTCAAACACTGCTTTTATTTTATTTACACGCGTAAAAATGTACATGGAAACCCACCTTAAGTCTTCTTGCTACTCGGTGGGAAGATGATGGCACGAAAAAGAAAAAGTTTGCTCAGTAACGCAGTTTTGATTGGACTAGAGCTCGTTTATTCAGATAGTGCCGAAGATTTGAGGGTGTGCCTAGCAACCTAGTTGTGATTGGTGCAGCGCTAACAGTGCAAAAATTTTGAGTTTGCCTGGTAATGTAGGTTTGACTGTAACCACCAGGCTTTCAATAAAATTTTGCCACGTATATCTAAGCTCCAAAAATTGGACCTGATTTTTGTTTAGTATGTTTGGTACAGAGTTCACAGCGAAAAATTTGCAAATTTGCCCAGCAAAGGAAGAAGTTCGATGTTTGAAACTGGCCTTAACTTAATCAATTACCATGGTTTTTCCCTAGTACTTGGTGGAGTCTGGTGCAAAACTCACCCTGTCCGATGATGCACATGGTACTGGCGATGTTGGTTTCTGGTACAACAACTTGTCTCAGTACCTAACTGATAACAGGGTCACTGAACTGCACTACCTTGTGCCCCACCCCCAGAAAAAAGTGGTTTGTAGAAAGATAGTGGATTGTTTAAGTCATCCATTTTGGACACACTGCAGGGAATTTTTGGAAGAGAATTAGCGGTGGTAATTTATTTCCTAGTTTGAAAATGAATTAGCGCGTTCCATGCATCATCATCATCATATCATAAAACTTTATTTAAACTCGAATTTTAGGGTAGCTAACAAGCTAATATCTTCGAGCTGACACTACATAAAAACTATATAGAAAATATATATATACATTAAATGCAAGGAAAGAAAATATCATTTACAATTCACAATTTTAAGTTTAAGTATGTCAGGCCAAAAGAATCTACATGAAGGTAACATCCTGTATTTTAGTCTTAAAGTCTGCAAAAAAACTGGTACGAAAAAAGTCCGGCAGTGCATTCCACTGCTTAGCTGAAAAGTAAGAAAAGGAGTTAAGACCATAGGTAGTTGTTTTAGGTTTACTTAGTGAAAGAATGTAGTTGCCACGAAGATCATAGGAAGAGGACCGGAGTGAAAACATATTCTTCATATAAGTAGGAAAATGAGTGAAAAACAAACTCTTATATAACAGAATGAGGAAATTTTGAATGCGTTTGTTAAACAAAGAAGTAGAGCTGACTTTAGAGAGAAGAGTGTTGTATGGAGACGAGTAATCTCCAAGTATAAATCTAAGTATTCTTTTATTTAAAGCTTCGAGCTTATCTGCATCGCGCGCTCCACAAAAGTGCCAGACAGAGGAGCAATAATAAAAGTGAGGTAAAATATACGCTTTGTAAAGTTTGAATAAGATTTCCTTGCGTTTGAAAGTCTAAAAAGCTAAGGGGTTTAGATGGTAAAATTGAGGTCGTGTTGTACTGGGATCAACCGTTTCCGGTTGGTTGGGATTTTTCGTGTTCCGAGTCATTGGGAAAAGATCGAATTTTGATTGGTTTGGTTGATCAACTTTTGTTAACCAGCTCAGAACTTGAACTTGAGCCTTCAATTGGGAACTTCAACCAAATTAACCAAAACCAGCTTTTCGATTGGCTATTCGTGCTCAGGGTTTCCTATTTTCCCTACTACGTTTCTTGGAAACCAATTACTGCTAAATGAGAAGATAACGCCTTAGAGGAATGAGAACAGACCCAATCTGAGATAAAATGCGTTATATTTCCCTGTTTGTAAAACTAAAGTAAATTACAATGAATGGAATGGTCTATCCAATCATATTAAAGAATGAAACAGTATTGCAACTTTTAAAAGAAATGTTTTAAGTTTTATTAAGGATAACTAGAACATTTATATTTCTATTTGTATATATTTTTCTTACATTTTAATCAGTGGGGACGTCCCTAGTATGGCGCATTGGCGCTTTTGGGTGTCTCCTTCTCCACAACTTTTTTTTTCTTATAGTAGTGTTAGCTTATTTCATTTCATTATTTGCTTGTAATGTAGTGGAGTGAATCTGTAATAAATAAATCTAGATGCTAAGACAACTTAATTAAAAATTTCCACCTATTTATAAATAGCTGTGCTCAAATAGATTAACACTGAATTTAAGATCGTGGGACAAAATACTTGGTTTTCCAACCGCGACAAAACAATCAATTGTAATTCTAACTAGTCTCTTAAAATTGAAGAGCAGTATCTCAAGCAGTCTTGCAGTACTTAAAAATAATTTTAGTTAGTGATAAAAAAAAGCCGTGAAATTTCACGGTGACCCTTGTATCTGAATAAAATAACTGTCACTGTAGAAGTGCATCTTTACAGCATCTAAATCCTAATACCTAAGAATAAATATAACAAAATTCTGTTCAACTGAGGATGTTATTGGAATGATATTCCTCTATCTATAGAGCAAGGATAACAAGACAAGTTAATCAAAAACCCAAAAGTCTATTGCCGATTTTTTTTACCCAACTTGGCATGTTATGACCAGATTTAGTTGTTTTGTGCTTAAAAGTGGATTTTCTAAGAAAACTTGTTACTTTTCCCAAAAGTACCTATCAGTATTATCTTGCTCAGTATTGATCACTGCCATACCGACCCTCGTATTTGCTGTTTAACTTGTGTTTCCTCATTTCCTTTTTTTTATATTTTTCTATTGATTTCTTTTATCCTAAATAAAACTGTATTCTAGTTAAAAGGGTATATCATGAATCTTATTTTATCTTGTCCTTCTTACAAATACAAATGTAAACGCCCAGAAAATCTTACACAGTCAGGGTTCTATCTAGGGTATTTGAGGGGTAGAAGCTTTCCCCCCAAAATGCCCAGCTTCCCCCCAAAAATATTGTTATCATTACAGTATATAAGTAACTATATCGGAAAAATCATCCAGACGCGACGAGGTCAGTGCACATTTCTCAAAATTGAGTCTCAAAATGCACCAGATTGCATCTCAGCGCATTTTCATTTCAAAAAATTTCCGGGGGAGCATGCCCCCGGACCCCCCTAGGAAACTCGAGGCCATCGGCCACTCGGGACTTCTCCCCCAAACGATAAATCCTAGATAGAACCCTGACAGTGAGTTTTCGTCTCCTCTCGCGTGCCTCTCCCGCGTCTACTTTTCAAGACATCACTCAAATGGAGAACTTGCTTGCAGGCTAGTTTTCCATCATGTTCCTTTTCTACTTGCGTGTTTCAATTAACAACCTCTCTCCTTCCTTCCTATCGCTTCAGAACGTTGATTGTGCGGTCATTCGCGTGTTGTTGACCTGCGGAAAATTGCGGCTGTTTTTCAGTGCATCTATTCCTCTCAGAAATGCTGTAAAACATAAACGGGCAAACCACGCGAGCACGCGTGAAAAGTGCCAGTCGCGAGTAAAGCGACACGTGTGGGGAAGTAACCTTTCTTGCGGGTATTAATTTTCACGTGAGCTTGCGTATTTTGCTCGCTCTGCCATTCCTTACGAAAATAAGGGGCTAGTCGCGCTATACCCTGGGGGTATATCTCTCTTCATTTTGAATAGTGAATTTGCGCAACAGGACGAGAGAGGAAGGACGACGGCAAACCTTGTGTGACAAGCTTGACAATAATTTTGTTTGAAAATGCTTTCCGCTAAACTTCACCTTTCAGTAAACAGCGGATCTTCACAATCTTGTAAACGACTAGAAAACATGAATGTTAAATGAAGATCACGACAAAACACGCATGTAATAGCCCCCTCACGTTTGTCACGCACAAGCGTTTTGTTGTCCTCTTTTTCCCCTGTTGCGTAAACTCACTTATCAATTACCGGCCGTGAGTCGAGTGAATCGCGTAACGCAATTAAGTCAGTCAAAATGTCCAATGTAGCTGCAGTAGAACAGGATCACTCGATCAGCTTTTTCCTGTATCAACAAAAGCGACGCAACAGAGAATCAGGCTCGTCAAGCGATTCCAAGTGCATATCAGTTGACTCCAGCATATCACATGACTCAATCGTTTTCTCTTGTTGCCTCTGCAATCTGCAATCATTGGATTCAAAATAGAAACAGACATTAAGTTAATTTCTACCATTCTTCTCTTAATGTACATCAAGAGTGGATACCAAGTACATTCAGTTAACTAACAATCGTTTAGGTTCCATTTAGGTTCCTTATGAACAACTGAGGACTTTTCCCGTGGTGTTGGGGTGGGAGGGGGGGAGTAGCCTACGTACAGAGACGTATTTCCGGTCGTCCCTTCTCTTCACCCGAAAACGGAAATACGTCTGTGTCCGCAGGCTAGGGAGGAAGCACTCCCTAACAGAAGCTATACAGGGTATGTGCGCTACGAAAGGGTTTGGTTTTAAATCCTTCTGGTCTGAATGGATTTTGTGTCAGAAGTAGGGTAAAGGTTTGTACTTCCTCGAACCGGGAGTCTGGCAAACCCCCAGTTGCAGGTGGGGGAGGGAAGGGGATTGTCGACTCCCTCTTCGCAATACTCGTCAATTCCGCAGGCGGATACATTCATAGTCCACTTTCCAAAATCGTGTTTTCCCAATTTACATGCAATTGTACGCATAATTTATGAAAAGACAAAGGATGAATTCCCTTAGGACCTACATTGAAAAACAAAATGTACAGACCATCTGTACAAGCTAATCAGGCCTATCACAGTCTCTATCTTTGTTAAGAGTTGTCACCCTAGGGTCATAGCCTCTGATGTTTTAGCCTGTCGATAAAAACTGACCTCATGTGTGCCGAACAATTCAAGTGAGCGAGATTCTTTTTTAAGGTCTCGGTAACGGAAAACGAGGTGCCCACAGAAAGAAATTCTAGTCGCGCGAGTATTTTCGCTACAAAGGCAAGTTATATATCAAATTAAAGCTAAAAGACTAAATTACCTAATAAAAGATTTTATATCATCGAATTTCAAAAGGCGTTTAAGGTTGTTGCTCTCGAACTCTGAGGAAACGAGTTTACTGCTGAAGCTTCAGCCCTTTCGCGTTGTTAAATATTCACTTCCTTTTTATTGCATCTGATTGATAGATAAAAGACCTAAAAAAGAGTGTGAGGAAATTTGCATATGTTTCGTACTAGCGGAATTATTGCATTTCAAACTAAAACGTCGAATCTCGAGCGCGATTTACGCAAAGAAACTGACATAAAATGAGTCACAAAGGTAAGTCGGAAAATTCCTCACACCCTTTTTTAGGTCTTTTATCTGTCAATTAGATGCAATAAAAAGGAAGTGAATATTTAACAACGCGAAAGGGAGCTTCAGCCGTAAACTCGATACCTCTGAGTTCGAGAGCAAAAATTTTAAGCGCCTTTTGAAATTCGATGAAATAAAACCTTTTATAAGGTAATTTAGTCTTTTAGCTTAAATTTGATATATAACTTGCCTTTGTAGCGAAAATACTCGCGCGACTAGGATATTTTTCTGTGGGCACCTCGTTTTTCTTTACCGAGACCTTAAGTGTTGGCTCTATGACACTACACAACGTGATCTCAGTTCTGCCGTCGGTTGATTAAATGACCATTTTTCGGTCGTTTTCTTTGTTTTCCAAATGTAACTTTGGGCAAAAATGACTCCTCTTCAATTTAACAATAGGGAACTAGAAATATAACGGCTGTATAGCAGACTAGTTACAGTGAGGACCTCACCTTTCATTGAGCAAAATTCATTGTCACGTCGTCGCCAATCAACACGAATGGTGCCCAGTACTTGACAGCATTGAATTCTCCAGACTCGCGTAGCGTTTTCATGGCCTGATGAAGCGACTTACTTGCACTTTCCCCTGCTACCAAATGTTCGTAAAAGTGTCTCATAAACTCCATAGTGACATCGTCGCTAATCGCCCACAGTGACGCAATAACCGAACGTGTACCGGCTCCCAAAAAGGCACGTGCAATTCCAACCACACCTTCGGCTTTGATGGCACCTTGCCCACTGTAACAACAGCTTAAGACAACAAGCTTGGCGTGCAGTTGTGCCTCCAAAACATCTGCCATCGTCAAAAGAAAGTCTTTCTCTTCGGGATTGTCCGAACTAGCAAGGTTAGGAGACAAAATAATTCCTCCGGTGTCTGGACAACCGTGAGCTGCAATGTGTACTAAGGAAACTGAGGAAAGCCCGCTTAAAACGTTCTCTTTTGAAGCGTCCTTTCCAACGAGAGGCTCGATGTTAAGAATCTGTCCAATCATTTTCACTTCTTTCTCAGCACCTGGAAGTTGCGGAAGGTTTTTCCATGGTTTGTTGCGTACGGTTTCCAAACATGGATTACCAACAAGCAGCGCACCAGATTTGCTATGGTAGCCCTCCGGACACTCTGACAGCAGCCTCAAGCATGTTAGTGATGGAGCCAATCGAATTCTTAGCGTTTCAGACAAATACCTGGAATGTTGGTCCACAAGGGCAGCATAAGGAATCAAGAATGAGTAACGGTCAGGGACAAGAACGAGTTCGTCACCTTCTATCAAGGGTGAAATTGTAGCGATAACTACGTCATACAGTGTTTTTAAAGCACCATCCTTGTCTTGCTCTGATTTTAAAGTTTTCTCTTCATTTTCCGGCCCATCCAGGGAGCGATTCGCGCACCTGACTTTTAACTTGACACCAATCTTTTCGTATGCTTTGCAAGTCAACGATGTCAAGTTCTCACTGATTTCCTTTTTCGTAAACTGACACTGCTGACCCGTTTGAATTAACCAGAAATTCACCACAGATTTTAGATCTGATTCTAGTTCTTCTGCTAGAAACAGCGTAGGTGATGAAATGTGGTTTGAAATGCTAGACATCGTCAGTTTTATTGGCTGTTTTAACTTCCACTGAATTGACTTTCTCACGCCATATTGCGATTCCATGAGATCCACGAGAACTTGTGCTCGTCCTACTTCGGCTGTAAAAAGAGCTTCAAGGATGTGGCCTAGTTGTAATTGAATTCTCCACAGCAGGGTATAGCTAGGATCAAGTTTATTACGAAGGCTGATTAACCACTCGTCTTTTCCTTGAAGGAGAACCCTCGCTTCCTCGAATAGTTTTATAGAGGATTTACAAACCTCCTCGGCTTTAGAAAACTGGCCAACACGAAAACAATTAAAAGATAAGTTATAATAACCAATTCCTTTTTCAATTATGTTTCCAGTTTCTTTCAAGATACTTAGACCCAGCTCATTAAGCTCGATTGCTTTCTTGGAATCACCGACAGATTGGTAGGCATCACCAAGGTTGACATATGCGGCTGCTTGTAAATTTCTGTTTCCAGTCTCTCCTGCGATACTTGATCCCAACTTAAAATACTCGATTGCTTTCTTGAAATCACAGATACAGCCATAGACAACGCCAAGGTTGACATATGCGCTTCCTTGTAGATTTTTGTCTCCAATCTCTTCTGCGATACTTAGTCCCAACTTAGAATACTCGACTGTTTTCTTGAAATCACCGATACAGCTATAGGCAACACTAAGGTTGTTATATGCCTCTCCTTGTGACTTTCTGTTTTCAGTCTCTTTTGCGATACTTAGACTCTCCTCATAAAGCTTGATTGCTTTGTTGGAATCACCGAGACATTGATAGACATTGCCAATGTTCATATATGCGCGTCCTTGTGACTCTCCGTTTCCAGTCTCTTTCGCGATACTTATACTCAGATCAAAACATTCGATTGCTTTCTTCAAATCAAAGAGAGAGCTATAAGAAGCACCAAGGTTGTTATAGGTTGTTCCTTCGAAGTTTCTGTCTCCAATCTCTTTCTCGATACATAGACTTAGCTTAAAAAACTCGATTGCTTTCTTGGAATCACTGGGAGTGACATTGGCATTCCCAAGGTTGTTATATGCCATTCCTTCTAAATCTCTGTTTCCAGTCTCTTTTGCGATGATTAGAGCCCGCCTAAAATACTCGATTGCTCTTTTGGAATCACAGAGAGATTGATAGGCATTGCCAAGGATGTTATATGCACTTCCTTCTAAATTTCTGTCTGCAGTGTCTTCTGCGATACTTAGACCCCGCTTAGAATACTCGATTGCTTTCTTGAAATCAAAGAGAGAGCAATAGGCAGTGCTAAGGTTGACATATGCACCTCCCTGAGCGTTTTTGTCTGCGATCTCATTGGCGGCTTCTAATGCCAACTCGACGAAATTCCGAGCGGTTTTAAAATCACCATGATCGAAAGCTTCATTTCCCATGGCACCATAACATACGTATAATAACCTATTCTTCATGAAATTAGTGTCGGGTCGTCCATGTTTGCTCTTACCTCCTCGGCATGACTAAAAACAGAAAGCAAATCCTCTCTTATACAACGCACGTTATTAGAGTTCGTACTTGATGTAAAATTATTGTCCTTTCCTTAAAAAGCTAAAAAGAGGAAATGTCTCGAAAATACTTCTCGCATATTTTTACTGCTTTGATTTTAATTATTGATACTCCTGTAAGCCGTTTTGGAAAATGGTGAACGCTTTTCTGTAAGACACCCGTAAAACTTCTTGGACGATCAAACCTTGCTTTTTTGCAAGGGTGAACCTACAGTGGTAGGAGCTTCTCAGAGGGGACAAAAATATTGTGAGGAAGACAACAGTCCAGGTTTTTTTTACAAATACCTAAATTTACAATTAACCTAAAACTTTTCGAGGGAACAGAGGAGTTATTTAACATCAAATTTCAGGTTAAGGCTATGAACGCTTTAAATCTGGTTATCGTTAGCCACCCTTCAGGACAGTCCGCGCGCGGATCGCTGTAGCGTTAGTTGTTTTTATAAAAACCCCTATAAACCATATATTTTTTAAAAGCTTAATAATTCCAGATTATGGATTTGAACTAAGAAAAACGATTTACTTAAATGTGTTTCGAAATTGGAACGCTTTGTGTAAAAGTACACGTCTCTATAAATCATGTTCCACTCCCGCCGGAAATAAACGGAAGAAAACAATTGACACCGCATTCGCTTCTCAACACGTTCCACTAAAAAACCGTGTCTCAGATTTTTGACAAGTGCGTTTGTTTTTCTTTTATTAGCAAATGAAGTTGGGGAAGGCAATTAGTCAACACTCTCTGTGTAAAAAAAGCTCTAGCTTTAAAATGAAAAGGAGTATTAAAATTCGCAGACACGGTTTTGTAGAAGAGATATATGGCATCACTCTGGCCAAATTTTAGCCAAATTGATTGAAAGGCTGCCGACTTGGAGTTCAAAACGTACGAGTCGATCAGGAAAATTTGCGTTCGGAGATAAAATAGAAAATACATTTTTGGCGGCATCCTACCTGGAATGAGATTATAACACCTAAATGTTTATTCTGATTGATATCAGAGAGGGATGAATTTTCTCTAACAATAGGACTTTGACAGGTAACATGTAACAGGAACAAACTTTTTATTGCTATCAACATCTTCAAGTGAACAGTTTAATTCTCCGTTGGAAAACTTCCACTCTTTTACACCACGAGAAGCACGGTTTAATTCTTTCTCGAGCGCCAGGCCAAGGAAACTAAAAAACTTTGAAGCCGCCGAATGCCCACCACCGATTGCTCGAAGGCCAAGAACTGAGGCCCGGTTTATTTCAAACGCTCTGCTCTTCTCGGAAGAATTAAAAACAGAATTTGTCTTGTGCGCCGGCCAGCTTTCATTCTCGCACTGGATTCTCCAGGTAGAACCAAGTCCATGCTTAGTTGCTACATTTTCCATGACTTGGACTCTTCCCTGGCAAAATCGACAAGATACAGACTCGTCCAGTTTCTCAAGCAGCTTTTCGCTCAATACGATAGCTCGACCGCTTATTGTTTTCCACGTTCCATCAGCAGATGGGGTCGATGAGCTTAATTGGCTTTCTTCATCTGGTTCTTCAAGCTGGATTTTGGAGCGGCTTGCACTCTCAGCAACTGCAGCATTTTCGCTTTTCTGAATATCCAACTCCTCGAGCCACTTCTCTTGCTGATAAAATGAGCCTTTGTCGCTCTCTGCCTGTTTTGCGGCCCATTCTTTGTCAAACTCGCTCTTCGATGTCTTTTTCGCTCTCGGTTTCGATAACGAAAACGGACACGACCTTTTTTTTTTTTACGGCACTTTCACCGAAGCAAACGCTAAATATCCACGGAGAATACTAAAGGCTATAAACAACGCGAAGACAATTCGCACGTGTTGTGTCGAAGCACGCACTCGGTAACGTTACTAGTTCACAGGCAAGTTAATTGATATATGACACGGGTATGACAGATCTTGTTAACGATCAATTAAGATAATTAACGAGAAAAAATCTTTTACCCCCGATATCTTTCGACAGAAATAATATTTTCTTCTGATTTTTTTTTTAAAAGAAAGCTCTCAAGCATATCTATTTGAAAACGTTGAAACCTCAAATATGGAAAAATGGCAATTTTAAGGGTGGCTGATACCTTAAGATACGAGGACGGGACAAACTACGACGGCTACCGGAAGTAAATTTGCACAACGAGGCATGCGCACGCGAAGCCCAAACACGTGTTCTTGCCGTCCTGGTCTCGCCGAGGACGCCATTCAGCCTGTTTTGCTGTGGTCTCGAAAACGTGAGTATTCTCGGCTTGTTTTCACCTACAATAAGGTGATATCGATTCCCTTTTCAGATATTCTGACCCTGGTGTTTCTTAAGATCATATTCTTCACGATTTTTGTCGGAAATATTTCGAAATGAGAGAAAAAGGCCATAATTAATGTTTGTCATTGTGTGTTTGTTTTGCAGGTTCCTGAGTGCCCAGTGAAGAAAAGTAAACCAGTGTAAGTGAAGTTAAAATAGATCCAGTTACAGTGGAGAAATAATCGAGTAAAAAAACGTTCAGTGAAGGTTTCTTTGACTTGTACCTCCTGACAGTCCGCCGGTGTGTAATACCTTCAGCTCATGCATGACGTAGTTCATGCCATGGGCTTTTGGAGGAACTCAAATGGCACTCGATGACTCACTCACTCACTCACTCACTCACTCGATTCTCATTAATATATTCATTAAAGCCAGAGTAAACACTTAACTCTTACCTCCCTTACTTATATAGTATTACTTTTGTTCCAAGGGTCTTTTACACATATGTTTGGCGTATTCTAGAGGCTACTGGTAAAGCGTAGATTTTTTCCCGGACACGTTATAGAGATGGGGTTTGTATAATGGCGGTGTATGACATTTGCAGACTGCAGACCGCAGATTGCAGATTGTAAATTAAAAGACACCAAAAATCTTCCTATAAGGTGACAACAGCAAAAATATAACATAGTGTGAAAGTAAGAAAGTAGCGTGGGAACAAGGTTGATATTTTTGCGCAAAGTTACATTTGCCTCATTTCCAAGATGCTGTTGGCTATTCTTCTCCGACGGGACTTTTATTGACTCACCCGGCATATCACTAATTGCGTTGATTCTTTATTCTTCTTTGATTATAGTGAATTGATAATGACAAGTAGCAATGCCCACTAATGCCTGTCTAAACAGTAGTCTTCTGTAAAAAAATGTTTTTAGATTTCAAGCACTTCATGCTCACTACAGTTACGTTGACAAAAATAACTAGGATAGATCACGGACATTTAACACCTTTTAAGTGACGTACTTCATCTTAGCAGTATCTAAGGACATGCCAAATAATCTAAACTGAACAGATCCTACCTGGACTCGACGAATTACCGGAAGTGCATTTTAAATTTCTAAATGGGCAAATCGACAATGGCTTTTTTGACAGGCTAATCATTGCTCATACTCAAATCCTAGTACACAGGTTGGGCACCCGTAGAATAAGGATTCCGGCGCTGTTTCACAGACAGACTTATATAAGCAGAGTTTAGTTTCGTCTGTGGTGCAGGCTAAATTGCTAGCCTGTTGCTATGGATTCATGAGCGAGTTTGTGACATCGGCAGACATTATTCTGCTCTAATTCAATACGAGAAGAACAGCCAACAACTCCTTTAGGAATGAGGTCGGTGTAATTTGCGTGAAAAATATAAACTTCGCTTCTAGGCCTTACATGTACTTCTCGGAACAAGGTAATGTTGATGATGATGCCACCTTTATTACGATATTTTTGGTTTCATTCAATTTACAGTCTTGCTGCCTCTTGCAGTCTACAGTCTGCGGTCTGCAGTCTACTGTCTGCAGCCTGCAGTCTACAAATGTCATACACCGGTATAATGGAGATATTCTAAAGAACACTGACAATATCATCTGCAAGAAATAGACTTGGAATTGTTAAAAGGACATTGAAATAATTGAGCGTGGATCATTGTTGTACATTTGGACGAATTGTGCACATTGTTCCCGATATAACTTGATAAGGAGAAGATGCGATCGACAGGAGTGTGAAAGAGCTATCGCGGCCTGACGATCAAGAACGGTCCTCTAATTGTTAAAGCGACATTGAGGAGTATCTATTGTGGTTTATTCAATTATTTGGACGAATCCATTCGACGATTTGTCTTCCTATGCAAACAGGGAATGAAATAATGTTGTGTCCACTGGAAGCACAAGTTTTAGAACCAACAAGCGTTACGCTTTTTTGCTTGAATTCTTAGGTGATCTTTGCCCACCAGGCTTTTGTTTGTCGATGATTCAATTTATCAGTGCTATTAATAATGTAATTTGTACAGAAAATGCTGCGCTGGTATAAACAAGTTTCTAGAATAATCAGGTAGAGAAAGGCAATCGGATATTTCGACTGCGTTTAAATTACTTATAATTAGCTTGGGGTCAGAGCACGTATAGCTTCGAGCTTCGTCCTTTTGATTAAAATAATTTTTAGCTAGTGTTTAGCAAAAGCGCGTTCCAAAGCAGTTTAATTTAACCATAAACGCCTGTGTTCTGTAATTTATAGCTCGTACTACAAAAACAAACCGTTACGTGCTCTTTGTGAACAGCATATGGAAACATTTATTTAAAAGCATCGCACTTATAGGAAACCTTCGAGGTCCATTAAAATAGTTGTTTAAAACCACGATTTAAATAAAACTCGGGCTTATGTAAAATTTAGCTATTTTACAAGAAAGTGCACTATCTTCCGGAAAGTGTTTGACAGTCACATAAAAAAAAAATGCTAGCAAATTTTTGCTAACAAGATCGATCCTGGACATATCTCATTATTTTACAACTAACAAGCGTTAATACTTGCTTAAAGTGATCCTTGCGTTATAAGTAGAAATGCTGCGCTGATAAGAAGTTTCTAGAATATTTATGTGGACATTCA